TTTCTGTGACCCAGTCTGCAGTGAAATCATTTAGGTGACGTTTTAAACATTTTGTATTTTGAATAATGTCTTCTAATAAGTTTTTTTAATTTTACACTGTAGTACACTGGCTGTTACAAAGATGGCTTGATTTCTAAAGTAACTGAGAGGAATATATGATGCCTTTTATTAAACTAGTGGTTTGCTTCACAGTAGATTCAGCATTAGCTATTTTAAAATTCTTGGCTCACATTCAAAGAAGTCACAAGACATTAAAAATAGCAACATTTTAGTTCTTTCTGCTCTGTGTGTGTGTATATAAGACAGGGTCAGTAACCATCACAATTAGAAATACATTGAACTTTTACATGGGTATGTGAACCTAAGGACTGATACTGTATGAAACCTTCATATAACTTGACATAAAGGGTAAATTTTGAGACTTTGGAATAGATGCTTCAGAATATTAATATTTTAGAACAAGTGATCATTCTTTTTAATTATTTTTTTGTTAGCTCTTTTTTTTCCTTCAGGCTTTTGTGTATTTCTAGAGTGATGTCTGAAAGCAGTGCAGTCAGTTTTCCTGTAGAATATTCATTATTATGTCAGTTTAGATAAATAAACCAAAGGTCCTGGTTCTGATAAAGGGAGCAGGCAATATGGAGGACTGCCCAATTCCTGCTGAGAATCCCATGCAAGCCAATAGGAGAGTGGTGGAAGTAGATGAAGGAGAGATGCTGAGACAGGATGGTAGCTTGGGAAGTCTTTTGTATCCCAAGCAGTACCACAGCCTGTGGAGCAGAAGACTGTAGATAGCTTGGGGAGACCTTCCCTAGGTGTTTGTGGGTACGCTCATAGGCAGGGAGGGAGCAGTCTCCTGCCAGTCCTGCCTGTGCTCTCCAGGGGTAGGCAAAGTCCAGCACTCCTCTGCCTGTTTGCACTCAGCAGCAGAGCTGCCTCACCGTCAGCCAGCCAGTAGGAATGTGTCTGTGGGGTGCCCTTGGCTGGGCTGGAGACTCTGCTGCTCCGGAAACAGCTGAAAGACGGGTGGGTGAAAAGGTAGTCCAGAACCTCCTGGCCTCTTTGCTTAGGTAGCTGTTCTGCTCCAGGCAGACACAAATCCCTGCCTGCTCACTCAGTGACAAGGTGCTTGTGTGATTTGAGCTTTATTCCACTTTAACAGCACCTCCCCTCCTCAGTTCTGCAGGGACTGTCGAGGTGAGCGACACTCCCACAGTGGCTGTGTTGGGTCAGGAGTCACCCTGCAGGAGTGGGCCTTTGAGAAATACTGTAGCTACACGGGAATTGAGTTTGAAGAGAGAGACTGCTCAGTCAAGTAAGTGTCGAAGCAGAGCCCCCTAATGAGGGAGAGACCCTGGTTTATGCACAATAATTGCACTTACTCTGCTAAAAAAAAAAAGTTTACAGCTCTTTGACCAGTCTAGTTTGTGGAAAATTTATTTCCCTAATACACAGACCTAAAATAGGCTTTTGAAGTGTTTTCCTCAAGTGTTTATATTTAGAAAACCCGTCCTTGAAACCCAGAGTAAAGCCTGCTAAGGAAGAGGGAGTAGGTGTTTAACAGCTTCAAACACGCCACTCCAGGTCCTTTATCTTTCAGACATGGTGACCCATGGGGCCCTTCTCATATTGCTGCTGACTTTAAGTACCCAGCTACTTTCAGCATAGCAGGCACAGCAGCTTACAGGTCCCCTCTGAACCTACTGACTGGGTTTGTCTGGGTGCACGAAGGACAGAGGTGGGTTTTGAGGGGCTGGCGGGGGGAAGCTTAACAGAGCTTCTACCACAGCTGGAAATGAAACAAAGTTTGTGCCTTAAATTAACGGTGAGCAAGGTCTAGGATAAATGTGCAGATGTCAGAAGAGTTGCTCTGCTGCATGCTAAATTTGGAAGGGGGGGGGGGATGGGGATGAAGGAATAGTTTGCATCTTTACTTGTTCCATATTAGATGTGACTGTGGCGTTGTTGGAGCTAATGTTTATCAGAGTCTTAAATGCTCTGAAACTTCCTGCTGTCTGCACTGTTTTCTTCCAGCAGCATAAGTTTGGACTTTGCTTGTGTACATTGCAGGGCGACAGAGGAGCTGCTGTCCCCCACCCCTAGGGGCTAGTTGTTGGCCCACTGTCCCCTCAAGTCTGTTGGGGGAGTCACACTGGGACCAGGACTCTGATCCTGGTCCCATGTGGATTAATTTTTTCCTCAGCATGTGTGTTTGTGAGGATTTTCTCTGCCCTCTGGTTCATTGCTGTGCCTTTTGGAGAGGAGGAGGAGGTGGGAAAGAGGCGAGGACCATGCAGTACAGTAATTGGTGCAACTCCTACCTCATCAAATAGGAGAATTAAATTTGATTTGGTTATGTTAATTATTTGGATGGCTTGAGAGAAAACATGTCGTTAACTGCGGAACAGAGGCGGGTATTAGCAACCTTATCACTTCTCTCTTTGCAAGACAGGGTAAGAGTCCAGAAATTGTTGCCTGTGGAGCAGGAAAGGGTTAGCTCAGCATAAGGTATGGGCAAAATCACCAGTTGCCCCAAGAACAGCATCTTATTTAAGTTACTGAGGTTTAGTATATAACAAATCTATAAAGTTTGCAGTTCCTTCACAGGGCTTCATGAGGAAAAAAAGTAATGCATCCCCTCCCATTTCCAAGTTTTTAAAGGGTTTAAATAATTGTAAGCTAGATGTGAATCAGACTCTCCTTGGGATAGGAAATGTAGTGCTTTGCCAAAAGGTTGTTGATGGGTGACCTGTTAATGGAAAGTGGAAAAGAAAAAGTGTCTGTTAGCAGCTTGTTTTGCCTGTGAGCTCATAAATTTTCTAACAGAACCATGTTATCCTAGGTTCTAAATTACACAGATAGTTGCATACTTGAACTGCCTTGCTCTTGATATATCCATGCTTCAACTTCACTAGGTTGGTTTCATGAGAGGTTTTGTGTCTTTGTTCTTTGCATTTTGATTTTAAAAATGATTTCTATATCCTTGTGGTCCTCATGGACCTCATGTCACATGGAAAGCTTGAACTTGTGTCTGCGTGATGACTCCTATGATTTCTAGCCAAAAATACTTGTTTGTATATGAAAGTGCTTATCAGATTCCGAGGCAAATTGCAGTGGGTCAAAGGGCACTTGCTAGTGTAAGAAAGAAACTTAAATCGTTCCTTTTCATTCTTACTGATACTTGAATATGCATGCTTTATAGATTTTCTGATTTCTGCCTATAAAACTTGGGTAAATCTTGAATTCTGAGTATAGAAAGTTATTGCTGCTCTAGAAGATTTTAGATTCATGTTACCAGACTTCAGTGTCCTTCCTGTATGATACTAAATATGATTAAATTAAAACCCTAAAAATTTTAGTTATAAACAGAAATAAAAGCAGAAGCATAAAGCTTCAGAAATGAACATCCAAAAGCAAGAGACTTGAGATACGAGGAATTAAAAAAGGAGTCTGGGGTACATCCATGAGGGACACGAAACTGAAAGTGTTCCTTAAAGATAAGGCTGTATTATGATGGGGCACTTTGAAGGAAAATTAGAATCCTTTTCTGCTGAGGATGCACAGTGAAATATGACTGATAGAAATGTTTTCTAATGCAGCTTTGCTAGCAGTGTGGATTGGGGCCAAGCCACATTTGAACTGTTTCTGAAACCAGACAAACAGGCATTGTTTATCCTAGACTAGCCAGACTATTTCAGAAAACAGTTCAATCAGAGCAACATTCATTTCGAGTCCTAATTAGTTTCCAGAATGACTGTAGAGGGAGGACGTTTTTCATCCACATCCTTTTTGACTGTCTCTTTCTTCTCTGCTCCAAATCCCCTGTTCTTCATCCCACTGAAGTAACTGCAGCCATCGTGTGCATGTGGAGCTAAACTGAGCCCTGACAGAGTTGGTGTGCTGCACTGCCTGCTGCAGGCAGAGGGAGAGCAGAGTTAAAATGCTAATGCCTTCCCTGTACTAACATTCCTGCTGTTCTACTGCTGATGAGGGCTGGTGGTGGTAGAATGTTTCTGGAAAAGGCTGCATTACTATACCTTTGTGTTGTAATTAGGATATTGTATTAATTTGAACCAGATATAGTGTATTTATTTTCAGGCTTTTAAAAGACTATTCAGCACTTCCAGAAGCTTCTCACCAATAAGTATTCTTTACCCCTTGTGGTTAAAAAAAAAAAAAAAAAGGAAAGAAAAAGAGGAAAAAAACCACATTTTTTCCATTTTTTCTCTGAACTAGTTGTTCGTTGTGTTTGCTTTTTTTTAATCTCCTCTTTAGCTTTGCAGAAGGTAGAGGATTATTAATACCACTTTCTTCAAGTTAGCAACATTTCTGAAAGTGGTAAACTCAGATTTGATTTTTACCTGCAAAAATAGTAAGGACTGCTGTATCTGTTAAATAAGGCATTCTGAAGAGAGGCATTGGAAACCTTAGTCTTACCAAGAAAACAGATGAGTTGGCAAAAGGAAACATTTTTCTATCCTTGTACATCAATAAATTTTTGGTCATGTTGTTTTCCTGTCTAACCCCACCCACCAAGTTATTACTGAAAAATGCAATCTCAACTAAAAGAGAAGACAAGTTTTTAAGTAATTGTTAAAAATATTTAGCAAAGAGGCTGTACATTTTTACTTGGCTCTGTAAGTTTTATTTATTTCTGAGAATGTTGAGTCATTAAATGCTTATAATCTGCGAATATGCATGCCCACAGAAAATAGAACATGAACTTCAACACACAAGTGAGAGGAAATAATGCATTTAATAATAGGCTTTCTACTTTGCAGAGTCTTGAAGTGAAGCTGTAACCTGGTTTTCATTAGAAGGGGTTGGGTATGGCTGTTTACTCCAGGAGTTTTGGATAAGTTTTTGGAGGATAACAACGTAGGGGAAAAATGGGCTTGGCAAACCCTTTACAATATACGGGGAGTTTCTGCATGATGTTACTTAGTTGTTTCCTCTTTGAGACATTTAACCACATTGTAATAATTTTTTTCTCCTTTAAGCCAAGGACCTTTGTCATCCATAAGAGCAGCAATCAAGAGATGTAAGTCTACTTTTCCTCTTTCTTGAAAACTATAATATTGTAAGTTTGATACATCTTCATTTTTAGTAACTTTGTATGTGAAAACAAAGTAGCTAGCAGGCTCTGGGGGACTGTAATTACTTTCTCTTTTTGTTTTTAGACTATCTTTTTGCTTTGCTGATGGGCTATTCCTTATTTCCAGTTAGTAACATTCTCTTATTTGTCCACTAATGCATCTGTGCACAGATGTGATCCATATCTGAAGAGTTTGGATGACGTGTGCCCAATTTTTAGTTCACTTGACAAAACAGAAGATTGTTTTATTTTAGTAGAAATCTGCAGCAACTGCTCATTTACTGTACCGGGAATGGGATTATACTCATGTAATGGGTTTATTTTGGAAAACAAAAAATTGTTTATAAATCTTGAATGAAAGTCCAAACTCTTCTTCCTTGATTTCATCATTTAACTGTTTCCCTTTTCCCTGCTCGTGATATTTCCAGGCAGAGAATTTCTTTAGCTGCATCTTTCAAAGTATTTTATGCTATTTCTTTTTCCCACTTTTCATTTTTATTTCCTTTCTGTCCAGGACTCCAATTTCATATTAATGAAACAACCCTAAGGATTCTGCTATGGGGAAAAATAAATTAGTGTGTATGTACTACTGATCTGTTTCTCCTGGACCTATTAGTCAGGGACTCAGTATGGATTAGATTGGAGGTAGTGAAAGGACATCATGAAAGCTTTACTCAGAGCAAGTCTGCATGATGCTGTAGTTAAAATGCAACACTTTATCTGTGCTGTTGCTGCCGTGGATGGAAACTGGAAAACAGAGAGCACCAGATCACAGAGGGCCTTTTGTGGTGGAGTCAGAAATTGATTCAGACTGCCTAAGCCCCAGTTCCTTGCCTAAGTGAGACACCATCTAGGAGATCATTAAGCATTTGATATCTGTGTTTTTGAAAATATAGTAGCAAATGATACTTTGTTTTGAGGCATAATCAAGTAAAAATCTAGTCAGGAAGCTGTGGCTCATGTACTATTTGCCTATTAATATTATTATGTGAATAGCTATGATGAAATATAAGTGCCCTGTGAATTATTCAGATAATAAACCAGAAAAAAAATATCCATGCACATAGCAAGACATTGCATATGAAACTATAGTTCTCTGTATGCCAGTAACCAATCCTGTGGATGGACTTAAATTAAAATGGATGCAATAATTCCTAACTCCCCTTGACATTAATCTGGAAGAGCTGTGGTATTATCTGGAAAAGTGTATTTCCCTAAAGGAATTAGAAATCTATCTTTATTTCTTAATCAAAGCTTCTGTGGGTTGTTATTCTCAAATTTTCAAGAAACATGGTAAGTATATACAGGGTTTCAATTTTCCCCCCTGTGGACAATGCTGTATATCACTTTGTATTGATAAGTCTCTGTCTTGTGGCCGAAGAGGAGGAGGGTTTATTTTCCTTTGTCACCCTGACTACAACTCTGCACAGAAAGATGGTGTTTCAGTTGTTCAGTCGTTCCATAGAATTAAGAAGAGAGCCCAATGTAACTTGAAAAAAGCAAGTATGTGAACATGAGAACTGCTCAGGAGTAGTCTTTTAATCTCAACTCTTCAAAAGTTATCTTGGGATTTTCAGTGATGGTCTAAGGCCAGGACACACCACTTAATCCAGCTCCCACTGAAATCAGCGAAACTATTTCCATTGACGCCAGCACAGCAACATACGCAAGAATGCCAAAGAAAGTAAAGAGAGGCAAGCCAAGTGCTGCAGCAGTGAGACAAAGGGGAACAGTGTTTTCACTCGCTTCTCCACTCATCCAGAACAGGGTGTTGTTAAGGAACAGGGCTACAGAAGCAAGTCTCTTACCCTGAAGTGTTGGAATAACCTGTAGGCTTGCTCTATTCTCATTCTGTCCTAAGCAAATACGTGGCTGAATGAAGGACGTGTAACAGCTTGTATGCACTCTGAGGCTGTGGCTTTCCATTTGGCAGTTTTGCAGCCATTTTTGGCTGTGGGTTTTGTTTGTTTTTCATTTTTGTTTGTTTTGCTTGGGGGCTTCCTAGGTTCTTTTGGCTCCCACATTTTCCCAACCAGATCAATTCCGTGACCTCATTCTCTTCCCCATCTGCACAAACATTTGGGCTGGCATAGTGCAGGGAATGGTGCAGAGGCAGGAACATACGGCCCAAGTAAAGGTGTAGGGAGGAGTGAAGTGCCTTAATAAATCATGATTGTCCAATTTTAGTGAAACTACACGGTGTAGTTATGAAGATTTTATTCAGCAGCAGTGCCAGCCTCTTGGAGCCCAGCAGTTAGATCAGCTGTGAAAAGGGCATAGGACCACACTGGGGGTGGGAAGAGGAATCCCTGTTACCCCCCCACGTTATTTTTTTGATCAGTTCCCTCCCTGAAGCTGCACAAAGCACTGGAGCCAGGAAGCAAAGGTAGGATATAGAGTCTGCTGCTGGGTGTGGCACATTCCTTCCCGTGTGCTGCTGGTGGTCTGAGCCCAAGGTGAGCAGGTTAAAGGAGATTAAACAGAAAAAAAGGCATACAGACATTGCTTATTTTTTTCATTTAACACTCTGAACTTACTGTGGTGGTCATATGAGTGCTAATATTCATTCAAGAGGGGACAAAAATCCATGTTTGGGAGGGGAATTGGGCATCTCCGTCTCTTTAGCTATGTCCAAGCATTAAATCAGCCCAGCTCTAACATCAGACAACCTAACACTTCCCTGAGGTGCCTGGAAACAGAACTAGGAGAAAAGGAACAAGACCTCCCCCTTGTGCCAAGAAAGAGTTTGGGAGAAAAAACTTCAACTCTCTTAGTTCAAGGATGCATGAAAAATTTTAATTAGTTTGAACTTCCACATCTACAGAAATAGTCTAATCAGATCTTGGGCAAAATCAAATATTTTTTTTTACTGGCTTGAGAATCATCTGATCCTTTTAGTGTTTCCTGAAGAAGGACCTCTGTGGCCAATGTAACAACTTTGATACTGCAAAGACTGCAAGCATGGCCTCTTGAATGGGACTGTTTCTGTCAGCTCTTGTAAGTGGATAACTTTGTAGGGAAGGGAAGGAGAGTTTGCCCACTCTAGAGGCTCTCCTTGTGATATTATAATGCATAAACTTTATTCCTAGGCATTTATATAGGGAAATAAATAACTTCTTAGTCTAATAGACTAGATATTTCATAGGATCAGTGGTGGAAATGTCTAGTCTGGTGTTACAAAGAATTCAAAGAAGGTGTGGTTTTAAACATTAGCACACGTCATTGTTGTAGAAAGACTTGGGCTATTTGAGATTATGTTTCCAATCTTTAATGCAAAATGAAACTTGCTTTTAAAGCACTCCGCAATGACAAAACTGTTCAATATTTCATAGAGATTTGCTATTCAAAGGAAGCATGCAAATATTGTTGTGCCATGTACATATTGTGGAAGCACTCAAAGCTCTCAGCAGAACGTTACCTCTGAGCAAATCCGTGAATTATCTTCAGTTGCCTCTATATTGCCGTAAAAAGTTGCCTGAAATACTGTAAATTCTAGCTCAGCTCTTTTCCAAAGGCTCAAATCTGCTTGTCAGACTTCTGTTGCCACCAGCTTGTCTGTAGCATCAAAGTTTATGGGTTTGTGGTATAACAGTGGTTGTACTTACACAGGCATTTTGATCCCATTGCTTAAAATGCCCCCCTGCACCATAATTTTTATGTGTTTCAGATATGAGTGACATAGTAACTGCACTTGAACAGTAGGGCCCAGAGAAGAAAGAGTGGAGGAAAAATATTTGAAATGTTAAGTATACAGCAGAAATAGTGTACCCTTTACCTCTGCACTTTTTAAAATAATGGATAAAAGCCTACTAAGTAGTGCTTGTAAGAAATATGTACAAAAGATGAATCTGTAAGTCGCTGATCTGGCCTCTATTTACAGTATTACCATTAATCCTTGTTTGAATCCTATTATGCTAGGTTAAACACATTTAGGTGCCTCATTGACACTAACTAATAAAGTGCATCATTGACACTACCAGAAATAAATATTGACAATGTTATGGGTTGATTTGTTTGGGGTTTTTCCATCCAAGACCAAAAAAGTTATAAGGTGAAGAAGTGGGGATTTTATGCACTGAGATTTTTCTCTCCCACCCTTTCTGTAATTTCTTTGCTTACCTTTTATTTAAATAGCCCTAAGCATAATCTTCTAGAAAGGTCAATAGTTCTCACTCTGAGCATTTCTTAGTGTAGAAGTTGAGAATCCAGTTGTTTTCAGTCACTGGTGTACAAACCAGCACTGAAATACATGTCCATTGACTCCCCTGATGGAAGGAAGGTTTTTCAAATCTTAAAGCTGTCATAATTTGAAATATGAGGCAAAAATTAGTAGCATGATTTTTCGAGGCAATCCACAAAGAGAATGAAGAATAGACTTAGAAGATTGAAAGACCACAAGGCCAGAAAAATAGCTGCTGTTTTTTCTCTTGTGTTTTTAACTCAGATGTGTACCATATTTTAACAATTCATGTCTTCTTTCATACACATTTTAATTTAAATTCTTTTGTTTGAAATGCTAAGAGAATAAACCCCCTGCAAGTCTAAGGACAAGGAATGTTTTATACTGTCTTTTGTCTAGCATTTGTGGAATACCTGAGAGCAGAAGATGCAGTAGATTTCACCTCTGCTTCTACTGTGGATTTAAATCCTCTAAAGAGCTTCCAAAAAAAACCATGTTCTAAAAGTGTGTTTTGTAAAAAGAATGTAACTGCAAAAAGAGAGGAGATGTTGATGGATGGAGGGAAGAACTTTGTCAGTCTCATTAAAAAATAAATGTTTATATTAAATGTTTATATACATGGAAGTAACTTGATTCCATAAATGCCTGGGAGATTTTTTTTTCCCCAAGCAGAATGAGCACATTCTGAAAACGTATGTGATGGCTTGGATATTAGTCCTTTTAAAGAGATGTATTTATATCTACTAGTAAAGTTGTTTTATATAAATATTGTCAATGTGTTGTTTTCACTTAAAATTTGGAGTTTGATGGATTACATAAATACCTCACTGCATTTTTTTGGACCTGTGTTAAGAAACGAAAAAGGTATTTCAAACTGCTTTTAGGTTTTTCCTATTTGTTTTAGCAATTTTGATAAATAGAAGCACATTTAGAATCTCACAGGAGAAAACAGCATGTACAGTTTATTAAGAAATGAAGAAATAATGAAATAAGGTGACAGGTTTATCAATTCAGTTTTACATTCCTCAGTAATTAGCTTTTATTTCTCATGCCCTTATCATTGTAGTGCAGCTATAACCCAAGCCTTTGTATTGAATACATTTACCAAATGAACACTTTCTTCCATCCTCTTTTCAAAAGTAATCTTGGGTTTGATTGGTTTGATTCAGTTTGAGTTTTTTTCTTCCAATGTGTGTTCTAGAACAGTGCTGTGTTAAGATCTCTGAAGAAGAAAGTGAAGGTGAGGTGTAGGGGATTTATATTTACTTATCTTAGCCAAACAATTTTTACAGAACTCGTTTAGAAGATGTGCAGTCAAACCTAAAAGTTTGAGATGTGCTTCTTACTGATTTCAACTTGCCTGCCCATATCTCTTTGATAGGTGAGAGTATAAATTTTAGGATCCCAGACTTTTTTGCATCTGTTTCAACTCCTCAGTGTAAACCATTATTTTTGGAAGGTGGAAGGGGCAGACCCAAATAAACCATGGTTTTAAGCTAAAAGAGCATTCAAAGAGATTTGATTTCCCTCTCCTCATTCCTACGGTAGTTTCTTGTTGAGCCATCCAGTGGACATTTCCATGTTCGTTTATAGTCTTTATGGTTAATTTATTGCAAGGGAAACTTCTGAACAGACATCGTTAAAATTGGCCGTAGCTAGAAATAAAATCTAATTTTATTTTCATTTTTAAGACACTATTTGTTAATAGGCGTTACAGTTGGCTCCTTGCAACACTGGCACATGCACTATCCTTGCATGACTAACCCATCTGATCATGGTTTCTGGCACTCTGAGGCCTTGGTTTGTTCTCCTTCACCTCCTCTTTGTCTTCTGTAACCCCTTCTTTTTTTCCTTTAGCACTCATGAATAGCGCTCATCCAAAATGCGCTCTCGAAGAGGTATGTGTGACACGACACTGTGCGACTGTTGGATCAAGTGTGCTTGGCTGATTTCGGCTAATGGTGCTGTGATGGCACGGGACAGGGACAGCAGAATGTCGGCTGTTGCACAATGAGATTCTACCACTTCCTGAATTGCACTGGCTATGCAAAAATTTGTCCCTTGGATCATTTTCTTTTCTCTCTAAGGAAATCCAAATGAAAATATATTGTGGCCATTAAAAAAAAAAAAATTATTTGAATGTAAATGTGGCAAAACCAGAAAAATTAAGACCTCAGGATTTGCTTGGTTTATGTAATTTAAAACACACAGTTTGAAAAAAAAAGATAAATATTTCTAACTTTTAATCAACAAGTGATTAAACTTTAGCAAATATCTAGCTGGGAACATTTAATTTTTTCTTTTTATATAAAGGAGGGTGAAATACCTTCTTAGGTTCTGTGCCTCAGTGCCTTTCCCATCTATAAAAACAAACAGAAAGAGACATTAAAAAAAGATTAAAGAGGACATCTCAGAAATGATCCATCAAAAGGAAAAGTCAGATATGTTTAACCCTTCTTGTTGCTTTATTCATATATTGTTTTAACTAAGGAAAAAAAAAGTTTCAGCTCTAGGGTTACCCACAGTGCAGAATGTGAGAACATGGGGCAAGGAAGAATACAGGGGACAGGACGATCTCTCTTGGTGGTAACTTGGACATGGAGTGACTTTAAATGATTATGAAACTGCACCCTAAACCTGTTAAAAGCTTCTCATATTTAATGCAAATAATTTTTTTTTTTAAACTTGGCCACTCTTAAAATCTGGAATTTATGATCAGATGCTCTGTGTTCTCCATTTCGTTGATTGTGGATTGGTAAAGGCTCTGCTATTAGGCTTGTTATGTTGCTGTGACGGTGTATTTTAACCTTTTCAAAACTTCTGTTTCTTTTCTTTAAATAGCTTCTCGGACCTCTAGCCATAGTGAACAACAGAGGGATAGAAGGTATGATGCTGTTATTTATATTGAAATTAGGTCTCCTCTAGTTTATTTTTTTTTCCTTTTCTCTATCCTTAGTGTGTTTAAAAATAAAATAGACTTGGAAGAAAATAGAAATACCGTGATTCTTAAGCACAAGGTAGGTCAAGAGCTTGAGGAGTTTTCTCATCAACTTTTTTACGTGTCTTCAAAAAGAGAATGCAACCAACCATCAAACCTCTGCAGAACTGTTTTCCTGACATCTATTTACAGGATCACTTCACAATGAAAATAAGCACACTTTCAGGCTTCCTTTCAGTTTCTCAAAGGGCACTGAGAAAGGAGGTCACCAGCCTGGATAGCTGGTGAACTGAGTCTGCCATTATTTTAGATGTGAAGGAACTGTACCCCTCTTCTTTTTTAGTTAATTTTACAATAGTTTTAGAAGTTACGCTTCTGCAGGTTTATTTCTGTCAGCAGGCAGACCCTTCTGTAAGCAGATGCGTCATCTACTCGCAAAACTCCCTTTTCAAAGTGTATGTTGTGTGAGACTCCAGCTGGATCAGTGGTGCTCTGGGAGCCACGGTCTGGGAACGTGGGCCATCCCTGCAGCTTGTGCTCTAAAGCAGCTGGTACAGTAATAAACCAGGGGTAGTACCTATGGGGCCTTCACTGTCACGGAAGTCCCTGGTGTACTCAATGCTGTAAGCAAATAGGCCCTGTCCCAAAGGCTTCATGAGGCTTCCTCTGCCCCACTTCAGCACGGTGAGAGGTTTCCCTTGAGGTCTGAGGATACACAAGTTTTTAGGTAGCCAGCCAGAAGCAGTTTTAACTACCCTACTGTTTTCACACTGTAGCAGGCTAAGGGCAAGCACATGATTGCTTCTTATTATCCCGTGAAGACTAAGACTTCTGCCATCTAATTGAGTTACACTTGTGTTTAAGTACTTTAAGCATGTAAATTATTTCACTGAAGCCAATAAACCTACTTTCTGGCTTAGGCATTTAATTAGGTGCTTTGAATAGAAGCCTAAGTGTGTTTGTTAGAAAGGTCAGGTAAGTTGCTTTTAAGTCACGGAAAAACATCTTTGGTTAAATCAAAAAGGCCTGTGCTATTTTGATTTCCCATGAAGAGAAAACCTTGGAGTTTTGTACTTAAAAGAACTGGTTTAAAATGTTTTAGGTCATTATTCCCCTTTGCCTTCATTTCCAGGCGTCCCGAAATTACAATAGTTGCTGCTGAACCCCTCCGGCCATCCTCCTGGTTTCCAGGTGCAAGCCCTGTCACTCCTCAGGGATTAGGATTCCCTTCTGCTTCATCTCATGCTCAGTGGAGGAGAAATGAACGTATTCCAGCTGAGGTGAGTGTGAATTTACATGAGATGTGTTTGATTTACAAAGGTAAAAAGAAAATTAAGTCAGAGAGGAATAGAGTTTTTGCTTGCTTAGGCTTTCATCACATTGAATAGAAGACTATGGCAATGTTCTTTTCCTCTGCATATGTTAATTTAGTATTTTTAAATTTATATGCTGCCTCTTTTTTTTAAAGGATCATATCTGGGTATACATTAATATTTGTCTGTTCTGTAGCTTCCACCGTCATATGAGCAGGTGATAAAAGAAATCAATCAAGTGCAAGTCAATACAACAAATAACAATAATGCAGCTGCTCCTAGACATACCACTACTTCTGCAACACAAACTGACTTTCCAGAGGAACTAATCAACCATTTGCCAGGAAGTAATGTAAAAACTAGTGTGCCTACACACTGGGAATCTGCAGGCTGTCGAGGTGAGACTGGTTTGGATTTCTCCTTAATGGAAAGCTTGGTCTGTCTCCTCAATGTTCTGTATTATTGGTCTGTGCAGCATTTAATATGAATAGCAATTGAATTTCTGTAGAAATCCTCTCTTCTGAAGAGTTACCATTGCATTTAGACTATAATTAAATCTTAAGTTTTGTTCAATTCAGCCATAATTGCAGTCAGAGTTTTGGGCCCAGAGGAGCTCAGATATCCAACCAAAATAGCAGCACTGTCGTACATTCATTCGGACTGAAAAGTGCATAAACCTAGCTGGGGAAGTTATTGTGCTCTTCTTTGGTCTAGTTGTTGTTTGCAGACCACTCAGTGCTACAAGTTTACAAGTAGTTTTGAACTTACAACATGTAGATACCATGCATTTCAGCAATCTTCAGCTTATTCCTAGCAGTTCGTATATTTGTTCATGCATCTTTTTAGAAAGAGCACTGCATTTTCACAAGCATCAGTAAGTTCTGAATGAAAACCATCATGGTGACCATCCTGATGGCTGTCAAACCATAACATAAATAAAGTGTTCTGGAAGAGGTAACTGAAACCTTTTGTGTTAGCAGGGCAGAGTCCTCTTAAACCTCCTAGGCCTTCTGCGTCTCTCCTGATTAAGTCTCCTTCAGAAAATGAGAATCCTTTAATAGTCTTTGAAAATCCTGAAGGTCAGAGGTGCCAAGAAAATCCCAATGCTGTGATATGTCCTGTGCCAAAGCCAAGATCAAGAAGCAATCTCAGACCTGTGGTCAAAAGTACTGACAGTAGGACAGACAATGGCGAAGAAGTAAACCAGCCCACCACAAAACGGCAGCAACCTGCCGTTGAGCAGTCACCTCTTTCAGATGACAGCTTACTAGACAATCAATTGGTGACGGACAGCATGAGTACAGAAAAGAGCCAAAATAGTATTGTTTCAAGGATCAAAGTTTTCGAATCCCAAGGAACTAATGATACCTCAGGATTAGCAAAAAAGCCAGAAATTGCCCCTCGTTCATTCACCCCAAGGTCCGTTACTGCAAAGAAGCCAGTAGTTGCTCCAAAGCCAGGGGTAAGCAGAATTTCAGAAGATTGGGATGTGTGGACCGAAAGCAAATCAACAGCTTCCAAGGAATTGCAACCTCAGCCTGAAGTAGTTGGGAGTATTGTTGGAACCAAACCTGAACTGCCAAAGAAGCCAAAACCTGGCCTTGTTAAAAGTAGCAGTAGTGATTTTCTTGATGCAAGGAGTGGATGGGTTGCAGAAAGTAGTGATGGACAAAAGAGATTTCCTGTTCCTGCTCCAAGGCCTCTCGTTCCTAAAAAGTCATGTTATGCAGAAAATCCTGCCCTGTCTTTGGCCTCACTAAAACCGATTGCTGCTCCTTCAGGAGCTGCTGCATCTGCTGAAGAAAAAGTTGGAAAGTCTCTGGGGGAATTATCACCTGCAGCCAACTCCTCAGCACCTGCTTTGCAGAATAAACTAGATGTGGAAGGAGATCTGATCAGTTTTGATGATGATGTTTTGCCCCTAAGTCCAGCTTGTGTAGCTAAAGATAGCATCAGTTCTGAAACAGCAGCAGGTAAGAAAAAAATTTTTTAAATGTTCACTGTGGTTACTCTTTGCAGGTATGTGATCCTGTGTGTGTTATGTCTGCATGTCTTGATGGGGTTTATGTGTGTGCATGAAACTTTCAGTTTTCCATTATGTCAAGATCACTATGAAATTACTTGGATTTTGAGACTCGGAAGGTTTTAAGGCTATATAGATCTCAGAACTTGTCTGCTGGATTTATTATGTGATTATTAAAATAATGATTAAAGACTTGATGTTATATGCCAGATGTCACCTCTAGAACGTATCACAATTTTCTGTGGGGAACTTGGGACGTCTTATCTCTTGCTGTCTAATCTGACTAATTTATTTAAGTGCCTGAAGTTCTGTAGAACTAGTTGTCAGGAGAAGCAGCAATGTTTGTGGTATTTAGGGAAACTTCTGATCAAATATACTGGGATACTCTGTCTGTGTCACCAGTCCCTACTCATTTCTCTGTCCTGTCTTTCTGTCTTGTCACATGACTATGTGCTTGTTATGCAACTTCAGTTTTTTTCTAATAAATGAAAATAATTACTTCATGTGGAAGGATCAGTTACTACAGCTACATCCCTGTTCATAAACCTTGTTTGATACCACTAAGCAGTTGGGTTGATTTTTTAATGCTATTTTAGGTAGTTTAAGACACAAGTGGGTGTTGGGCTATCATTAAATCTTATAGCAATAGGTTTTACTCTCTTGATATTCAGCTATGTCCTGATTTAGCTTACCAACCCCATTGCAACCCAGGGAGAGTTCTATTTTAGAGCAGGGGGTCTGTCATACAAAATACATGTTTAGAAATTAGCAGTGATTTTTAATCTTTTTTTTTTTTTTTTACCCTCATCTATTGGGTTTGCATGGCAAGGATTTGGTAGTGGGAGGCTTCAGGGATGGCTTTTCTGAGAAGCTGCTAGAATCTTCCCCCATGTCCAACAGAGCAGGAGAGACTCCAAGCTGGAGCAGGGAAAGAACGTGAGGAGTCCTCTCTCTGAGGAGGAAGAAGGAGCAGCAGAGAGAGTCTGTGATGAGCTGACCACAGCCCCATTCCTGTCCCACTGGGAGGGGAGGTAGAGAAAATTGTGGGAGAAATTGAGACCAGGAAGAAGGGAGGGGTGGGGGAAGGTGTTTTTAAGATTTGAGTTTATTTCTCATTATCCTACTCTGATTTCATTGGTAATAAATTCAAGTAACTTTTCCCCAAGTTGAGTCTGTTTTGCCCATGACAGCAGCTGGTGAGTGATCTCTCCCTGCCCTTATGTCAACCCATGAGCATTTTGTTATTAAACATTAATTCTTCTATTAAATCAGAGACAGTGATCACAAATGAAAATCACTTGGAAAAAAAACAACTTTCATGATGAAGTAGTAAGAATGTCACTCTTTCTGGTTGGTGTCCTAGGTGTTATTCTTGATTTAATTAAGAATAAAATGCTTTCCATTCTCATGGTTAACAGAGGGATTATTCGAATAATAGTTTCCTGACTTCTTGAGTCACCTGTCTGTGATTTTATTCATTTAGTAAAATGTCATCTTTGCTATAATCACTTCTTGCCTACTAAAGAGAAAAAGGTCTGATAGCATTATCACTTTATTTCACTGTAAAATTAGGATTAATTCCAGATTTCTGCTGGCATTTGTGAGCTCAAGATCATGTATTGTGCAACACCTTGACAGAGCATCCACAAGAACAACACTGGTTCTCTGAAAATGAGGCAACACAGAGCACTAACACTAGCTATTTCTCATGTTCCCATAGGAACAGCTTAGGATTTGCAAGAATCCACAGTGAAATGTTTTGTGAAGGCAGGAAGAGTAGCTCTAATCTTGCTCCCGGTTCCCCAGACCTTTGCATTTCTTACATATTTGTCACTGTCATTACTTAGCAAAATGACAGCGCTCTGCTTGTTGTTATGGCAACCCTAGGAAAGGAAGAAGGCTTTTATGCAGTGGTGTTTGAAACCAAGCACCAACATCTTTTTGGTCAAAGAGCCAGTGTTACACCACAGATTGCAGCGTTCCCAAAGCTTCGTTTTTCCTGCTACAGCACAACCAAGTCTGATACTTAGACTAATGCAAATGGAACTGGACGGATCAATCGCTGCTGCTGCTGCTGCTAACGCTTGTGTGGAAGTAAGAAGGTGAAATGTTGAGTTGATGAGAAGGGCACAGAAGTTGAAGTGAGCATATGAATGAAAAGGTGAAACAGGCAAAACAAATTCAGAGTCTCCACAGCAATTTAGTTGACTGACATAAGACATCAGCTTCCTCTTAGCAGAAGGCTACCATCTCCACAGTAATGGAAAATATTTGAATTCCATGTATGTGCTAATATCAACAGTGTTGACAACAAAACAGTTTATAGTTTCACCAGTTTAACTGTCAGTGTTTAATTGGTAGTTTAAGCTCACTGGATGATTCTCTTTCAAGTTTACCTCAGGCAATCCCATGGGTTTCATCAGTGTTTGACAGCATCTCCAACAGCACAGCTGTTGCTAGAGTGAATTTACCCTTATCCAAACAGTAATGATTTTATTTTTAGAGGTGAACTGTGGCAGAATCTTGCATCCAGCTCATGTCTCTGATGCTGGCCCAAGAGAAGTCCCAGAAAGGAGAAGTCAGTCTACATGAAATCTGTAGAACTGCTTTGTCATCAGCCAAAATTAATGCCAGTTTTAAATGTCATAATTTTGGACTCAAAGGCCAGAAATAATGTTCAAAGTCATTTGTATCCTAATGAAGTTACTTCTATTCAAGTCAGTCATTTAGAATGTGAAGGGATCTGTTTGGGACTCTACATCTTGAGGTTCTAATGCTTGGATGATGGTTGTGATATTTTGGAGCATTTTTGCATTTTTTTTATAGCTGATAACAGGGATTTGTGCAGTTCCTGAAGGTTAAAAGTTTTGGTAATCTGCCAGGTGGGCTCTCTTCTCACTTACCCATTTTTACAGAGGCTTGGAAATTAAATGCTAGTGCAAGTTTAACCAAGTGTAAATTCATGGCTTCAGAAGACCCATATCAAGCACTGGACTTCATGATCTCGGAGGTCTTTTCCAACCCGGTTGACTCTATGATTCTGTGATTTTACTTGTAATTTGTATTAATTGCTATGTCAAAGCATGTAGTGTACCTGCTTGCTGAGTGTTCTGCCAATGTGTGTTTTGGACAAAGAAAATAAAATAACTGTGCATTTAAAGTGCACATTTTAATTAAAACTGGAGGTAATCTTGCTAGAATGTTTTTCTTCCTTTTCGCATGGGGAGAGCTATGTTTCCTTCTCTTTAAAACAGCAAATAATTCACTAATTGCTCTGTGCTGACATATCAGAAGTCAATTTAAACCAAATTCTTTGAAAAGTAGTTCAGAAAGAGCCTTACGTTACCAGCAGGAGACAGCTCACATTTTGATAGCTTCATTAGATTCAGTTTGAACAGTAGTACAACTACTGCATTTCTTAATTGTCTTATCTATCTGTCTGTCTGTCTGTTATATCATAGTATAAAGGTTCGTTTCTGCCTGCAGGGTGAAAAAAACCCCAACCAAACCAGTGCTGCTATCCATTTATGTGTATTGTTCCTTCTTGTGGCATGAATGGTGGCATTTGTGTGACATTATAGACAATTCAGAAAAACTGCTGCTTTAGTAACTCCAGATTTGTCTGCTGTGGGGATATTGCCCAGCTGCTTGATTTTAATTGCTTCCTCAGGAAGGAAAAGAAAAACAGAAAAGAACTGAAATAGTTCTAACTGGTAGATTAGTCTAGACATATCTTCAAAATAATGCAGCTTCTCTTAAAGTCTGCTGCATTACATCTGATGACTCTTATTGTGGTTATATTAAAGACACCTGTCTGATTTTTTACTTACTGCCAAAAGTATCACCACCAGAGAAGAATGAGCTGTTTCATCCATTTTAATCTGCTCTTTGGCTTAAACCTCTTTATAAAAACAGATTTACCTGAAGACATGCTGCTGTGAGGTGGAGTAGTGGAGATTCAGGTCTGTGTTGTGTCCTGGCTGGTTTTGCTGCAGGGTTGGCAGTCTCCAGCAGAAGTGGCAACAAGCATCCATTAACTCTTCAGTCACTACAGATGTTAGCTTAGTAAACATAAATTGGAGCCTTCAAGAACCTTGAAGGGGACTCCACTGTTACCACAGGAGAGGGCCTTATATGTAGGTTTGGGAAACAAATAAGGTTTTTAAATCATAGCTACATAATAGATGAGGAGCCCTTTAAGTTGTCAAATGCAGATGAATTTGGTTTTGAGTTCTGGGTCTATAGATGCTGTTAAGTGGTAACACACAAGTAATAATGTTCTTAATAAAATCTGTTTTCTCTGGTAATTTGTTTATTTAACAATAACACTTAAAATGCAGATATCCTTTGATCAGAAAGTTTGTTATAGAACAATAATATACTTATTTAAAAGAAATGTTTACAAATAAAACTATTTTTTTCCTTTGCTGGAAACATGAGATTCTTGCAAGAGAGTATATAGGTATTTTAAACAATATTATAAATTACCTTGTCCTTCACATTTTCAATAAAAAAAGATGTTGTCTGACCTACTGCTTTCTGTTACCTGCTTTGGAAATTTCCAGCTTGCCTGTTTTGGGGCACTTGAATCTCTTGCCAGTGAACAACCATTTATTCACCTAGCAAGAATGGACAAGGCTGTGTTTCTTAATCTCCAGGGTAATTTGGAGGCTTGTTTTCTTTGTCACCCGCTGTATGTCCAAATACCCTCTGGCATCCAGGTTTTGAAGTTAGACCAAGTTACGCAACCAATTTCTAACAACGTGCCCTCATAGCTGACCTGTTCTGGGCAGGAGGTTTGATTAGAGACCTCCTGAAGGCTCTTGCAATCTGAACTATCCTAATCTTACTTCAACTAGCAAAATAGATTAATGATGTAGGAATAGCCTCCAAACTCTTACATAATAGCTCATGCTGCTATACACAGTTCTTTTGTGCCAAAGGCACTGTAGTTTCTATTACCTTTCACTAGTATGGATAATCTAGCAATGAACACAATGGTTATGCCCTTAGATATACACAGGTACTAAGTGTGGGCATTTCCACACTTTGAGAGAGAAGTGCTGAAAGCTTGAAAAAGGTCCATCTGTGTATGTATCTCTGTCTGTGTATGAAGAGTACATGTGTAGTTTCCCATCCTATGAATGCTTTTATTGCCATTATGTGTTACAATAGCCAAGAAATTTTGATATTCTAGTATTAGATTTTATCTACTCTCCAGCTTTCTGACACAGTGGATGAGATATTTCATTGCTCAACTAAGGACAGCTTGCATTTTCAACAAGTACATTTAAGTCAGATCTTCTGTTGCATCTCTTGGCAAATTCTTTTTCTGTGCTTTCCAGATAATACAAAACTCTGTATAATTCTTTGTCTTTGCGCACTTTTGTCACACTGATTGCTAGGCTCCTTCTGCAAAGCAGATGTACTTGTCTCTGCTCTAATTTTAAATCTGAAAGGATACTAAGTCTCCTGCTGAATAATACTGTATTCCTTTTATTTGAGTGAGCTGGTCTAGTGTTAAGAGAACGCTGAGAAGCCTGAATTTCACTTGAACTTACTTTTGTGTTGTTTACAGATCAGATCCTGAAAGAATCTGCATCATACTGTCTCTCTTTTGTTTGGTTTGGGGTTTCTTTCTTTTTTTAATTTCCCAGCCTGTTAAAACATACAATCATGACCAGATCATGACAGTTTTCCATGCAGAGGGAACTGCAAATTGCTTGTTTTGTGAAAGGTGGTATAGTCCATATTATTTTCTCTGTGTCAGAAATACCATTTTTAAGAACATCAAACTGTTAATTGTCTTTATGAAAAATGCTGTGGAAAACAGGTTGGGAAAATCACTGATGCTGGAATTTAGGTAGGATACTTGTCTGATACATCTCTTTATAGTTGTAAATGGGTTGAGATTTAAAATGTCTGAGTGAACATCAGACTTTTGATTGTGGCATTTCACAGTGTTTCTTGAGCATGAACCTCATTCTTCTTTGGAATGTTATCTGTCAGGTTTCAATTGAATCTCTGGGTATATTACTAGGAGGGCCTAGTTGTTGAGAATCTTCCCCAGGTATGGGCTTAGTATGCTTCCATAAACACCAGAGTGGTTTTATGGGCCTAGGTTTTAGTAAAACCATTTGTTGATGAGGTTTGTTTCTATTCTCTGTTCCTGGAAGACTCTGATAACAATCCTGTTCTATGTGAAGAGAATGTGTGAGCTGATTTAGGTTTTTAAATTAAAAACCACAGTTGCATACTTCTGTAGTGGCAAGTGGTGTAATGTCAGCATCCCCACCTTTTGTACTAGGTTGTTCTCATGTGTACTGAGTACTCCTTGCAAGATAGAGGACCTTCACAACAGATAGTACTAGTCTGTGCTTTTAGCTTTCCACATATTATTTGTTTGGAGATTCCCCTTATTGCTGCTGAGGTATCTGTTACCATCTTACTCGCTCTCACCTAAAGACTACCAATAAATATTTCAGAAAGATACCTGTCCATCCTCTTCACATGGGCAAAACCAGTGTTTGTTCTGTAAGCTCCTAATTTTTTTATTTTAAACAAGGGTAGTAAATGAGAATGGGGGGAAAAGGCTGTCTCTCCTAAGCTGTTGAAAGAAAAGAGATGATATACAGTGTATTTGAATACACAGCTTTCATTTGTCTTTCCTGTGTACAAGCACACTAAGATATGTTATCACATAAACCTTTGAAACAGAAGCTGTAGAGAAATGAAACTAAGGAAGACACAAACTTTAAGCATCATTCTAAAAGTTTAATAAAAAAAAATCAATAGAAATCTGTTGATACGTGTTATGAAAAATTACTTGCAGATTAATTTCCTTGAGCTGAGAAGCTTTAAATGAGTATATTAACAGTTCTGTTTTCACACCTCCGTGAATTATGCTCAAACGATGCCCAATTGTTGTTAAACAACATAAAAATTTGATATGTTGTCAGTCCCATTGCACAAAGCAGCGCAGTTGTTTCCTCAGCCAATTTCTGCTGCAAACTCAGCACTGGGGAATGGAATAACACAAACAAGGTAATGAGTTTTAAACTAATTATGAGGTGACAACAGTATAATTGAACATAAGATAATGAGTGGAAAACGTTCATCAAATGGTTTTCTCAACCTTAGAAATTACTTTTCTCAGACTTAAAATTATCAGATGTTTTGATGTAGAGACCTCTACCAACTGTTGAATGGTCAACAAAACCATTTCTATGCATAGCAGTGATTAAGAGCTGACAAACAGCAATTTTGTACAATTTTAAATCTCCTATAAATTTACAAGAATACAGAACTGTGATTATTTTGGGTGTTTAGAGCATCTCCACTTGGTCTCACAATGTCTCTATTTTTATAAGATGGAGGCTTTGGAAAACCGTTTCTTCGTTTTTCATGCAGAACTTCCCTAACCTCTGTGGAACCTTGTCCTGGGAGGTGCTGTGTGTGCCAGTGTGTTCCTTATGGTCCTGCTGTGTCAAGGAGCTCATGACTTAGCCCTGCTCTCCTTTCCTCTGTTCGTCCCTCTCTCTCCAGCATGCCAATGGGCCAGTGCAGCCTTGAGGTCCCCCTGCCCTGCTGCCTCGCCAGGGTCACTCCTCAACTGTGTCATAGAGTTGCCAGAGAACTGAAACAAAGAAGAAAGCCCAGGTTTTCTTTTTTTTTCAGCTGCACTTAAAGTCACTCTGAACACCAGCACAAGAGTTAAGATTAAATAAATCTTTGGGGGTTTTAATGCAATTCAAGAGTTAGCATTGTAGCTAAGCAGACAAAGGGATTTTTGTTTCTTGTAATGACTGTACTGCCAGAATGCTTCCACCCCTATTGTGGTCTGCATTTTCAAGAACTCCAGAAAAACTCTTGCTCTGATGCAGCTTCCATTGAGAAAATACAAACCTTTTACTGACTAATGCTAATCTATAACTTCAGAAAGATTTGCCCTTACCTTCTAAAATAGTATGGGTTGCCTGTGCCTAGTTTCTGGATGCACCTGCGTCTTTGGGCACAATGTGACAGAGCCATCTTCTGTCTAGATGGTAACAGAGCTTATTTTTAACCGTAGCCTGCATACCTTTAGCTGTGGACAGATTGTTGACCTGTCATGATCCTTTGTACCTGAAGTGTTGTACAAGTAGCCTGACAGAGGAAATTGATGCACTTTCATGATTGAAATGTGATATGAAGGTACCCAGGTGAATTTCTGGGGAGCCTGTAGGCAGGTAGATGTCTTTCCTTTGAGAGAGTCCATGGCACAAACCCACACAGCACACCTGTACATGCTGGATCCACCTGTGAAGGAAGCCTTAAGCAAGGGGCTAGTGGGAGGTGGACATCTGAGCACGGGCTCTGTGGCACATGGTCCCTGCTGTGTGACAGCTGCCCGCTGCAGCAAGAAGCGCCCCGCAAGGGGGAGAGGCAGCAGAGCCTGGGGAGCTGTGGCCACCAACTTATGTGCATCTGAGAGGGCATGAGGTTGTTCATAAATAAATACTGTTTTTTCTGTGTTTTCCTAAATCTTGCGGAAATTCCCAGACACAGGTTTCTTGTGTCTTGCTAAACCGCATTGTGAAATGCTGTCCAAGATTACCTATAGGAAATAATAAGTTAATATTGCATAATTTTAATTGGTTTTTGTAAGTATTGAAGATAAAATTTTGTCAAATACACTGTTTTCCAACTTTGTCAGGAAGCATGGCAGTAGTTTTGGGAAAGGGTACGTTTTTTATAAAAATCATGAAGAATTTAAGAGATGCCCAGCACACTTGCTCTCTTAGGCTCTAACACTCCATAAATAACATCTCGTTGAGCTATACATTTAAAAAGGCCACCAGAGGAGATCAGACTCAGTTGTTGTGGCTATGAATATGTGTCATGGAGAATTTATCCTCCACAGTGCTTCTCCAGTTTCCTCTTTACACTTTTATGATACTGTTTAGTGTTGCTGTTTTACAGCAGTTTTTGGTAATGTCGGAGAAAGAAGTAGCAGTTGTTAACAGGAGAGAAGAGGTGTAAATGTGGTATCGCTCTTTGACATGAAGATCTGCACGAGCCAGACCCATTGATTTGGTTTTTATTTATGCACAACTATTTTTACAGCTGCCTTCTGCATGCGCCTGTGTTCCCATGCCTATTAATAAGATACCAGTGCTTAAGGTTATGAAGCATGGAAAACATTGCTCCTGTCTTACCAATGGAATGATTGGAAAGGCTTGTAAAGGCGCGAGTGATACAGGCAGGGGCAGAGCTCAGGCACAACTCCCAGTCCTTGGTCTGAACCAGTCTCCTCCATGTCACTAGGTTTGTAACCAATAAAGTGATGCAGAATCTTCAAGGGAATTAGTTGTTCTACAGCAAAGGCATTTTGTAACTGGTAATATTTAAATGTTTTGTTTTGTTTCTGTGGGCATTTTATCTGCTGCAGTGCTGATTGTTTAGCTTTGGCTAGATTTTATTGATTAAAACTTTTAGTGTTCACAGCTATGTCTGCATATTAGAGCAACTGCTTTGAAAACATTTCCCTAAAGCCATTCTGATTTCAGGTCCCTATTGCCAAGCAGTGCAGTTCCTCTTGTTTAGTGGCTTATATAATCCCAGAAGGTATCTGGAGCATGCCTGTGTTAAGTCAGCTATGAATGCAGAAGTACAAAGAAGACATGTTATTTACAAATTGCTGAGTACACTAGTTGCATCAGCCTGATTTATTTTTTTTATTACTATCTTGTGTATGAAGTGTAAATATCCTTAATAATGAAAGCAACACTTGGTGAGATATGTGTTCAACAAATAAATATTAAATATGTCGGGGTTTTTTTCCCTTTTAGATCCATTTCAGTTCCTCACCAAAAGTGAAACTGCAAAGGAACAGCCAGCTCAATCAGCTTTAGCTCGGAAACCCACTGTGATCCGAATTCCAGCTAAACCCGGGAAACGTAAGTTCTTCTCCCAGATTGTCTGAGAAATCTGTTAGAAAATAATTTCACCTGGAACTCGATGTTTACTAATTGATTTGCTGTTTACTAGCTGTGTTAGCTGCCAAAGGAATCCCATGGTACAGTTTGACAAGACAGAGGAGCCAACCTAAAAGCTGTGGTGGGAGGGAGAAATAGATGAGAGTCGTGTTCCAATCCCCCTGCCTCCCAGGTACCTCATATTGGCTCCCTGCCTTGCACCAAGTCTGATGTCTCAAACCTTATGGGGCTAATGCATATCAGAGGGGAAAGAGTGTGCATGGGGCGGATCTAAACACTGCCAGGGAAGAGCTGGAGGAGACCCTTCCAGCAGAAGCAAGCTTGTTTTGTCAGCTAAACCATATCACAGAGCTGATCGGCCAAATTGATTTTGGCTCTGACCTCAGCTGATGTAATTTTAATGCTGCTCCCAAGCTTCCTGGGAGCCACAAGATCTTTGTGTTGATCTTTGTAGGCTGGAGTACATGCTTGTTTCTGTTTAGCCGTATGTTTTATCCTCAGAGCTTAGGAAGAAATGTCAGAGGATAGCTCTTAAAAACTCATATTTCAGAATCGTGTTTTGCTGAGTATGTACAGAGTCAACTTGTAGCAACAGTAAGTCCAGGTGACTTTTCTCCTGAGACTTTCTCTCATTATTTCCCAAGTTTCCATCTGCACCTATCACCAACCCAGTGCTAAAATACTACATTTTGTTGTCCCCTCCATATGTGAGAAATGCAGTGGTAATGATTAAAAGTGCAGAGAAGACTGAAGATAAAGCTGCAAGGAGAAGTCTTTCTGTTAAAATCTGATTGTAAAGAAGAGTTTTTTTCAGTTGGAAGACTGTATTTATGAACTACTCTTAAGAACCCCTGACATAGTTCTTCTCCACAAAGGAAATTGTAATTTCCATTACAAAAAAAAAGCAAAACCAAACAAACTACTACCAACCACCTAACAATTTTTTTCATTTTCTTTTTTTTTATTTTGTTTTTGTCTGAGACTGATTCTCTTTTGAAATTGTAAATAACTGGTCCCTTGCTGCTCTCTAGTGGTAATTGAGTTTTCCAGAGAAGACTGCCCATCATCCTGTACTTAGCTACAAATGTGAGGAGGGTGTGAAGGACTGCTTTATGGAGTCTGTGTCTGGAAGATTAATGGGATATGAAAGAACAGAAGCAGATTCCAAGAAAGCAGAGTAGACTTTTGTCAGATAGGGGCTGCTGCAGAAATGTACGCTGTTAAAAGTTAAAAAATGGGAAAAGTACAACTGGGTCAAGGTATAACATAGATTTAGTAGGATTTACATTGTAAAAGGGCCACATAATCTCAGTACAGAGGGTCTTTCACCATATTGAGGAGATAAACTCTGTCAGGAACCAGCACAAACCAAAAAGAAAAACTCCAATAAACAAACAAAAAACCCCCAATCATCAACAACAACAAAAAGCCATCCATCTAGCACTACCAAAAAGGAGACAGAGTTGGATGCTTAGGAATTTGAACTCCAGTATTCAATTAGCATTAGGATTTTTGTTGAAGTGTGATTAGAAAGGAAGCATTAAACTTCCACTTCAGTTATTACGCTTAGAAATCACTAAAAAGAACACCTGAAGTTGTTCGGGTTTTTTATCTTCCTCTAGTTCCTTTAATTTTGGTCGTATGAAGAGTAAGGGAGAGAAAATCAGGCCATCTGTGTATATAGCAAGATTTGAAGTGGATAAATAAATGTCTCATGCTTTTTATATGTCAGTAAGATGTGTTAAGAGAAGATTTCTTTTGCAATTACTGTCAGGTATTGTTTTTTACTTTTCATCCATCACACTAGCTTAGAAGAATGATGAACTTCCTAATATTTTTCCCTATGTGTGGTCACTGCCAACACAGTAACTATGACCTGCTCCTAAGAATCAGGGATTTATCCTTGAACTGATGAATTTTTAAATATCACAGCAGTGATTTACATCATAGTAGTGCAACAGAGGTGTTAAAAATAAACAACACTTCTCCTTCCTATGTATTGTTTCTTTGTTGAGAGTACTTTTCATGATTTGAGCAACTGAAAATTTTCTCTTGGATAGCATCTCTTTTTGTCATCACTCTATAAATGTCCGGGCTGTCTACATATATTATTATTTAACTCCAAGTCCAGCAGGAATTCAGAAGAGCTTAAGTATCTGAAGTTCTTTCTGTTAAATGAATTCTCTTGGTATACAAACACATTGTAAAATAGATGACAAGGTTCCAATAGATAAAGACAAAATGTTTGGTAAATATGCTGGCAAAACTTGTCCAAGTGCTTTCCAGATTTCAGTGGCAGAGACATTCAAACCAAATGTCATATAATTTGCAGAGTTTTGTATTCTGTATTGAGACTCAGGACATCATCACTCCTTCCTAGTAAGAGCTGTACTGTTTCCTCTTCCATGTCCTAAATTTACTTAGCTCCTTTAAAGACTGCCCAGGAGCTTCTGTCTCTGTTTTCTGTCACCCTGAATTTTGTAGCAGGCAATGGTTTATTTTCTTGCCTTTACCTTTCTGGAGATTCTTCCATTCAAGTCTCCTGATCTTTCAGGGTTACTTGAAATAACCCTCAGCTGTTTTCCAGCCTGAAGGATATTCCAGGAGCTGACAGCTGAAAAAAAAGTGAGCCAGTTTAGAAATGTGGCTGAGAGACGGTGATGGTGTTCCAGGGGTATCCAGTAATGAATCTGACATTCCCAGGGGTAGAAACTCTTCTACTCATCCAATTTTATATCAACAAGTTTTGCAGCTGAAACCCTGAAAGTCTAAAATAACTTATTGGTGTCCTGAGAGTAAAGTGAAGATCTGTTATGCAGTGTGGGAAGTGCTCCTGAATTCAGCCTCAGAGTTGCAATGTTTGCTTCATGTCCTTTTTCTCTTCGCTAGACTTTAAGTGGTTCTTTCCATTGGCTGCTCTGGCTTCGAGGAAGGAAGTTCCATTCCCAAAAAAATGCCCCATTTTGTCTATTGTTGGTCCATGTAAAGAAGCTATTAATTTGAATTTCATTTAGGAACTTTTGGTCTTTTTGCAGCTTTAAATGACATCCCACATAGCCCTCCACCACTTCCTGCTGAAAAGCCTATTGGGAACACGTCCGACATCACAGTGAGAAAACCCAACAGTGGTGACCTAGTGAAAAAAGGGGTAAGTTAGAACTGTTTTCCTGTATTACAGCTTTGTGTGTTCTGGTTAACAGATCTCTTGTGACTCTCAAGCATTTGTAAAGTATATTATTTGAAGGACCAGAAGATGAAAAGGACTACTCAAAAATCTAAGGCTTTTTTTCTTTTAATTATGTTCTCTAATTTAATTAGGTAATTTAGTCTGCTGTCAGTTCCGAAAAGCACTTAGGTGATTTTACTAAACTTTGATCACATCTATCTTCAATTTTCTGTATTTATCATCTGGAATCAGGATATTTCCAACTTAGTTTCAAAAGCACTGCAAAGTGGTTCAAAGTCCAGTGGGATTTACACAGTGAAATGTTGTCAAAGTCTGTTAGAAATCTTTTTTTTTTTTTGCCTTCATACACACAGTACCTCTTAATGTCTGTGCTAATTTCCAGGCAGAGGAAACTTTTCTGTAGAAGAATGAAGCTTGGTGGTTTTTTTCAGTTTTTTCAGTTTTTATTTTTCTTCTAATTGTTTCTGCTCAGTTGAACCACTATTTTGGAAAGTAAAGCTCCACTCCTCACTCCTGAGCACATACACAGTAATGGTGGACATTGTAGCTCCGTATCCTGTATGCCATTTAACACAGATTTACGAAAAGAAATTAAAACAAACTAGAAAATGACAGTAAAATTTTCTAGTAATGAGTTTTGTGATGGCAAGAATGTCAGAGAAACATGTGGAAAGCACAGGCAGTAAAAAGATCCAATCAAATCAAAAGCCCTCACTAGCTGGACAGCTGCCAACAAATGCCCTTGTCCCTACCTCTGCTATTAAGATAAAGGGGTTTTAAATGTCATGATTGAAAAGACTATTCAGTGAGGTCCCATCTTTTCTGGATAATGCTGAAAAAATAATTTCCAATACAAGACATTAAATAACATTTTATGCAGTGCAACTCCAAAACTTTTACAGTGTCCTTCAGGTTATTGTGATGGGCATGTGCAAGCTTCAGAGGATGTTTTTAAGAAAAAGATTGCATTGAATCCACTGAAACACTTAAATCTTATCTGTGGAAAGATAAGATTTGTGCTCCTAAAACTAGTATTGTTTGTCGGTGGAAGTTCAAACAGCAGCAGTAAAAATTGTTGACCATATGTAGCAGTTGGCACAGATTTCTTCCTTTTCATACAGAAGAGAAAAAATTTTGATATGAGGATAACATCTTCATCTGAAAGTGGCAGGTTGTTTTCTTTCTAATCAGGATCGTTTAATCAGGACATTAATTTGGGGACTCAGTCAAGGGTCAAGTCTCGTCACAAAATACATCTAGGTATTTTCTACATGGGAAAAATCACAAAAGTTGTTTATCAGTTTCAAGCGCATTCAAGCACCTAATTAAGTAAACAAGACTGTTCAGACCTATTTCAAACTACTGGTTCAGAAAAGATCCTTTTGAACCCAGATTCAGCACTCTGGTTTACCGCACAGTTCCAGAAGCAGCTGTGCTTGTTCAGTGAAGCTGGCAGAATTTTCTGGCACTGGGATGAAAACAACCAGCAAGAGGCAGTAAGGATGTTCACTTGCTAATCCATCACCATGGTCCAAGCCCTTCAGGCATGGCACATGTCCCCCCTTTCCTGACTGCTGTAGGGTAGTAATCTCTGGCAGGGCCAGCGTGGGCACCTGGGAGGAGTGATGCCTTAATCTGCCAAAGCAAGTTTCACTGGGGTTTATCTGTTAGATCTTTAGGAGACATATTTAGATGCCTTCTTTAACGGGAGCTGATGTTATTTGCAAGAGACACTGTCCTGTGTGAGTTGCATTAATGTCATGTTTTCTGCTTTAAGACTGCTCAAAGTGTTTTATGTGTCAAATAAGAATTGATAATGTGAGATCCTATGGGCATGGTAGTGGTACATTTGTATGATTCCTGTATTTGACTCTTAAGCCCTTACTGCCATGTAGTAGGAAAAGAGGGCCAGGTCATACCTAATGCACAATTTAATCTGTTTCAGGTAGTAAGCCAGGTTATTTACATCTCCCTGTATGTCCAACAACATGTTAAAAGGCTAGAACACACCATAATACTTACTACTTTACTCCCAGACCTCCAGAAACTCTTGTATTTCATGTCTGTGGGATATAATTTAGTATAAGAAATATATAATTTCACCAAGATCTGTTATGTTGGGTTTTTTTTCCTTAGGCTTAAAGAAATGTCTTTTTTCTTTTGAATCATTTTAGGAGTTGAATCATTCAGAACAGGGTGGAGTGCCTCAGCTAGAACCTGTACTACCCCCAAGGTAAGTGCAGTTCTTCAGAGACTCACTTAAAAGTTTCCGAATGTGTTTCTGAATTAATTTATCTAATTAGTCTCAAAGTAGACACTATCACTTCTTAGTCATAACTCTATAGTCTTGGTAGTATGCTTACTAATAAACAGGCAGGACCAAATTGCTAGCTGATTAATACTTGTTTGTACATTAGTGGTATGAGCAGGGAGATTATAGGACAGCTGTTTGACTTTTTAGCTAATGTACAGTGGATGCTGACAGTCATTCCTTTCTGCATCTTTAACCTTTTCACCCACAGCACTTGCACTTGTGGCAGGGTTTGAGTGGTGAAGGAATGGAGATGGCAGATGCTGCCACCCTGGAAATGGCAGATGCTGGGCCAGCAGCTACCCAGAAGCACTGGGTGGTTTATACAGTTCAGTTCAGACCTAAAACACCTGCGAAGGTGTAGGATCAATGATAACCTTGGGGTTTTTTTATTCTTCTGAACTAACAAGAAAAAATGTCTACAGAGGCAAAACTTGCTGGAGCCACCTTAAATTCATGTCTACTCAATACCAGAGACAGAGGGGAGGGAGATACTGCACTGGCTAGCCAGCCCACTGTGGCTGTCTCAGCATTTGCATTCTGAGTCTGTGGGTTTAAACACAAGAGTTTAATCTGATGTATCAGGACAAGAGAATCTTTCTGTTATTGAACGGAGTCTATCATTAGTGATAAGTATTCATTAACATGAAAGAATGTGGTTGTACCCACAAGAGAACACTCTGTGGTGTTACTTCCTCACATTCCATTTAGGATAACAACATTCCTGATTATTATGAGGGTCTCTAGAACTGCAGTAAACTTTTTGCCCTTTCACTCTTCTGCTCAAATGGATTTTTAAAAATTTTTTTAAGTAAGCAGTAATAATTTGCTGAATTGTTTGTTAGGGTCTTCTTGTTTAGTTGAGTTGCCTTACAAACATATGGGTTGATCTGTTTACAGATTCAATGCAGTCTAACTTGGAATTTCCCTTTTTGTCAATATTAAAAATGCTCAGTTTAGGACGAGGCCAAGAAAGGGGAGAGGTGGAAGTTGAACAGAAGTGGAATTTTTTTTTGAAATTTGAAAATTAATCCATACTCAACTAGTAATAGAGAACTCTTATAAGGAGCATTAGTAGAGCATTAATATCTTCTCAAGTGGTGGATGACACTTCCAAAATGTTAGAATGATGCTTCAGAGATCCACTAATGCACATTTATTGGGGTTGATAATTTTTGCAGACCTTGCTGAGTTACTTTATATGAAAAAAGAGAAACAGCTGTAGCAGAAACTTGCAGTAACTGCCTGAAGATTTTCCTGTAACAATCAAATAGTACTGGGGTTTTTTTGAACAGTGGTAGTGCCAGGGTTCCTAATAACAGAATGCCTAAATGTTATGTACATAGTTCTTGTTTATAGCAGAGGTGATTTTTAATTAGCAATTTATTGATTTGGCCACACTCTTTGATTCTAAAAATCGTGAGTCATGTGTACTGCATAGGCAGCTTTATTTAATCAGTGCTTAGTAAGGGTTTTTTTAAACATTTTTAATTAAAAAATAAAAATTACTACTGTCACTTCCAAGTCTCTGATTTTGGTTTCTAAACTACTGGTACATTATTGAGAATGTGATACCTCCAGATGTCAGAGAACTTGAGTATTTTCACCAGTGTTCTTTCTGTTGCATAAAAGTGGTAAATTCTGCTATTAATGGCATTGTGCCCAAAGTGGCATTGTATGTCATGAGTTTCTGCAGAAGACCAGAAGTCACTTTAGGGAAGGGAATGAGCTAGGCTGATCCTGAAGACCAGTTTTCCCAAAAGCTCTCAATAGCAGAACATCCTGCAGCAGCTTCAGACGAAGCTCTTTCTGAAGGTGGATTGCTAAAAGAAATCCAGCTTATGTAGTGGGCTCCCGTGAAAGCTGGCAGGCTGTTGATAAGCAAAAGTGGTGAGCAGACTTGGAAATGCGTAGTCAAAGGATCTGCCTAAGGACGTGATCATCCAGTTGCAGTAGCTGAAGAGTTCATGTGTTCCTGGAAAGTTTCAGATGCTACATATTCTGCAGCCCAGGTTGTCATGAGTCATGTTTTCTTGCCGCATACTCTATAGATAGGGCAGTGGTGGAGGATGAGGTAGCACGCTTATTAATATCCATATTTTCTCTGATGGTTTGCACAATTTTTAGGCCTGTGGATGGAAAAATTATACCAGCTCGACCTCCCCCACCTAAAGGTGCTCCTGGAAGGCCACCTCCACCAAAACTCTCTGCAACCAAGGCCTCTTCCAAAAAGGATGCTATTCCGCGATCTAGTTCTGACATCGCTTCTGATAAAAAAAACAGCAAGTTCAGATTGGGACCCAAGAGAACAAAAAGTGCAGTCTTTAAAAATCCAGATCCAGCATTACCTCCTAGACCTAAGCCGGGTCATCCTCTCTACAATAAATACATGGTGAGAGCTGAGATATTCTATCTGAGACCATTGTTTTTATAAAACAGTGCTGGTTAAAATAGTAGTGAAAAAGACAGTAAAGTGGGTTAGTATGCTGTGTCATTCAAAGTGCATGTATCAGCATAATCTTCCTTAGAAAATACCAATAGATAAATAGTAATATGTCCTGTAAGGTAATAGTGGAGAAAGCAGTATATAAAATCAAAGTATAGATATATATTGCGTGTTATTGTGTGTATATACAATTTATATTATATATATCTTGTAATACTTGTAATAGCTTTTGGGTTTTGGGGCTTCTTTGCATACTCATCAGTTCTGAATTCTCTGACAGCACATAAAATGATGCTAAATAATTGCATTTTTATATTGGGTTTATGCATATATATGAAAACACTTAAAATTGAGGGGCATTAGAACTTAAAAAGTAGTTGACCTTGCTTAATAAAGCCTGTAAAGAGTGAGAAATGTAGCATTGCTAATCTTACATTTTCATCCTATTGATACAATTCCTTTTCATTATAAAAATGTTTCGTTTTGGTATTATATGTGTTATTAGGGAATATTAAATACAAATGGATCAGCATTACAGATAAAAAAGGAGAAAGTCTTTCCTCAGATACTTGAAACTGGTCAGTGATTGAGCTGGTGACTGTTGAACCAGTGCTGTTGTCAAAAACAGAGGCCACAGAGCCATGAACATGAACAACATCAACATCCCCGCATGAAGCGGAAACTTTGTTGCCTTCTTTTTGATCTTTCACTTAGACTTCTGTATTTTTTCTTTGTAGAAGATCAGTAGTAATTCTCTGCCCTCAAGTTACTGTCAAGGAAATTGCCCTCCCAGGTTGTTTTTCCAGTGCCCTCCATGACAAATGATTAGACTTCCACATCAGATGTCTTTCTGAATGTCTCGTACCATATGGTATGAGACCAGTTAGGTGTCTAAGACACTTTTAAAGTGGATGACACCACCTGGGTTTCTCAAAGTGGCAGTTCATATCACTATCTGAATGCCTTCCAAAGGAGCCTGTCCTCTTCCACTGGACTCCTAAATTAGTTACCTGTATTAGGTGGTCTGAATAGTTCCATTTTCACTTGCAGTGGGAATTTGAGGTGCTTAGAAGTGAAAAAAAGTTTTCCATTTTTCTCTGTTTCTGTTCTAGCTACCTGTGCCTCATGGAGTTGCCAAGGAAGATTGTCTTCCCAGGAACACGGGAGAACCGTCCTGTAAGGTAAGGCACTTTTTTCTGCTGGTAAATATTTAATGACAAGACTGCTGTTGCATTAAAGTATCAAATGCTTTAGTCTTTAAAGGTTACACTTAGAAATGTAAAACTGATCTATTAAACCCTTGTGTTTCTTTAATCCCAACAAAACTCCTGCCAATAGAAAACCCAATAATGGCGATTTGCCTTATAGCACAGGAACATGCTGCTTATGGGGCAGAGCAACAGTAATTACTTGGAGTGCCAGAAGGGAGAGGAAGCTGGTAAAATTCCTGTGTCTCACAGGAAAATAATCACTCCCTTGGCTGAGTATCTGAGAAGTGAGCAAAAGATAAGCGAGTAGTTTTATGAAGTGCTGTACATGATATATCAGTGAATTGGCTTTGACATACAGACTTGAAAGTATTTTCCTCTCTCTGCTTCTACAGATCCTGACTTGGTTTTAGGGCATGACTACATTAATATTAAATATCTAGTGTAAATTATAGCCAGGAGCAGCTTTTTTGACTATTATCAGAAACCTACATGGCTGAAATACATTTCTATGCAATCTATTGTTATCTGTTGTAATTCATATTACTCTGCTCTTATCTTTGTCCACACTGGGCTTTTTTTTGTTGGGATTTTTGCACACAGTGAATTACTTTGAATGTAGTTCGTACACTGTGATTGTCATCAGTACAGTCTAAAAATTCCTAGTGGGTGGGATAGAGAAGAAAACTCAGCATTTTGAATATAATTTACCTGTGTAAAGACCCCACAACAAAATTGTCAGCTCCCCTCAGTGTTACCTTCATGTAAGGTGGCTTCCTTGCCCCTCTAAAATGCTTGTTAGTCAGCAGATGTGCTGCCCCTGCTGAGTCTGCTGGGGAAAGTTGGCTGGGTCTTCACTCAAGCAAGAAAGAGTGACTGGTGGCACGAAGTACCAAGCACCAGTGCAAAATTTGGCCATAGCCCTTGCAATGAATGTTGCTATCTGTGCTCCAGATTTCTGACCCACAGACATAGCTGAGGCTTTGTCTGTACTGGGAAGGTTACATGCCTTCCCTTCCTTTTTACTGGCTCTAAAGTAGATATTGGTGAAACATATTCTGGTTTACACAGGCAAAAGGCATACAGAATTCAGACCCATAGCTGTGTGACTAATAACCCCTGCCTCCAAAGGGGTTTTTCCAATACCAGGACAAAATTGCGTCTAAAGTCAAAATGTTACTTTTGGAGTACATACTGTTAGCGTGTTCCATGATTTATGAACTGCTTGGATTTGTTTGTTTCAGGATTCAAACCACCCTCCAAAAGTTTCTGATACAAGTGCACCTCATGCTGTAGTCCTGCATGATTTTCCTGCAGGTAGGTAAATGTGAATATTCTAGAAGCCTGTTTTACTTCAAGACTTTCAAATGGGAATTCTCTTAGGAATTACAGCTTAAAAATGGTGTGGAAGCCCGGTCTACAAAGCCTCCCTTTAGAGTTGTTCAGGTCAATGGGTTTAGCTGTAGATGGGCCAAGTCTTTCAGTTAAAAGCTCATCAGTTTATAAAGTATAATTAAGACTTCTTGAAAACTCATTCTGTTTTTGTCTGTGGTATTTATGTTAAGAAGGTTTTACTTAGAGAAAATCAGTGAGTGTGGCAAATACTGTTAACTGAAATGATGTTGTCTTACAGAGCATCCCGATGACTTGGACCTTCATTCTGGAGACATCGTTTGTCTTCTGGAGAAAATCGATACTGAGTGGTACAGAGGAAAATGTGGGAATCGCACAGGGATATTTCCTGCCAACTTTGTTAAAGTAGTTGTATGTAGGCTTTAAATACACTGCTACATAGATCCTATTGCATTTGTTTTCTGGCTCTACTTTACTGAGTCATCTGTGTGTTTAGCTCCATTCTGTATTTAGATAATCTCTTATCCCGCTGGCAGTACAGAAGACGTATCAACTTGTTTGTGTGGTATTAGAAAGATGCTTGATTTGGCATGAGCAGCTTGTGTTATGGGCAACATTTTGGTGTTAATTTAAAGCCAAGTGAGAAAATCATTTCCCTTATCAGATTCTCTTTGTTAACTTGGGTAGTTTCTCAGGGTCTACAGAGCAGATTATTTTTTGACAGCTGCCTGTAAGAATCAACACTCGGTAAGATGGTTGCTTTTTGTGCCTTCCACCCAGTCCCCAGCTTCTTTCATTTCTTTCTTGTCCCTTGAACTGCACTGGAATGACCACTTTTATAGCCATGTAGTGAAATAGGTCAGGGCAGCAATTTGGCCCAACAAAACATGTTTGTTTTTTTCTTCCTAGAATATTTTTTTTCCAGCAGGATCAATTTGCCTAAGTGGCTTACTAAGTGGCTGCACAAATGGTTGTGCTGGCACAGTACAAGGAGATTGTGTTGTTGCAAATGAGCAGCTTAAAGCAATCCTGTTACTGAATGTGTCACTTGACAGTGAACGGAAGGCAAGAACAGGTGCTGCTGTGGGAGCCCAATAGCTATTAATTGAATGCCTTCTCTTTAGAAGAGATACAATATGGTTCTCTGCCTCAAATGCTGGGTCAGACCTATTGCAAGCCTGAGTCTGAGATTGAGGTCCATTTAGTGACAGTAGTAAGGGCATTGGGCTATCCACACCAGCCATATGGACATGGAGGAATGCCAGACTGACACCAGGATGCAGTGGAGGTGCATGGCCTGGCATTAAAGACAGTTAAGTGTCTATGTTGAGCTGGGACAGCTGGCAGAGATGAGCACTGCTGCCAGATGGGCAATTCCAAGGATTTGGTAAACATCAGGAAGTGTGGGCTGTCTGTCTAGTTTGTAGTGGTGTTATTAGAGAAAATATTATGTGAGAAGTGCTGAAGAATAAAAACTAAACTCATAGTAGTAATGGATCCATGCTCGATTCACTCTCATGAGAAAGATTTGTTAGCTAAATTGATTTGCTGCTTCTACACAAACCAACAATTTAATTTAAAAGCTCTTGCTCCTACTGATGGCTAACAGGAAGAGTTTTATGTTAAAGCAGTGGAATGAGTATTTGGGGTCAAATTCAGTGTTGATGTGGAGAGATAAAAGTTCATAAAAGCTAGAGAATATGCATTTCAAATGTCTATCTTAGTTTTAAAAGGTGGTTATCCTTCGAGGGCAAAAATCTTCTGTTTCAGATTTTTTTTTTTTTTTTTTTTAAAGACAGAGCGCAGTACATGAGGCTGATTTGCTTGACTGAATTCTCCTCTTAATTCATGTCAGATTTAATCTTGATACAAAGTCTTTGTACAATAGGCCGCAGTGTGGTTTACAATATTGAGTGGGTAGTAGGTTAGGTCTGGACACCTAACAATAATACGTAGTTATTACCTCCCATGGAATCTTCAGAGCACCACAGATACCAGCCCCTCTAGCAAGAGCACTGCAAAGATTAATTGTGTTAAAAGGCATAGTAATTTCCTCCAGTCCCTCACACAAGCTAATGAAACATTCTTGTTGCTTTTATGAGAACTGGCTGATACAACAGTGAGCTGTAAACCAAAGCTCCTCGCCAGGGCCTCTAGGCTTGAAGTCTTACACATCTTACAGATCATCCTTCATGTCACACCAAAAATACAATTGAAATTCTCTTATGATAAAGGACTTGAATGTTGTCTGTTTGATATGTCTGTGTATTGATTTTCTAAGTTGTATTTCTCCAATTCAAGTGAGATTTGTGAGATGTATTTTTGTTTGAAGGACAGCTGGCTACCAGAGCACAGAAAGGATAAGTGTAAGCAATAATTTTGTCTATTGTGATATATTGTGCTAGTAAATAATAGAGAGCAATTACCAGCTGAAAGTTGGGAACTAAATACAATAACTTGTAGTAGCATCCAATCACATATTCTGTCAGGCATGCCACAAGTAAAAACAATAAACCAGCTTCATAAAGAAAATGTTAAATATTGCTCCTTGTTTGCATAAGATTAAAAATGAGAAATCAGGCATAATCCCCCCAAAATTTACATTAATATGATCATATATCAGACTATGCCAGTGACTACAGAGCATCACACATCTGAAAAATGGATTGTTTTATCCAGTTTCAAGTTTATTGTGGTTATGTTGCCATTAGTTTGAAATGGAAGATTTAACTTACTTTGCTGTCTTATTAGATTGATGTTCCAGAAGAAGCCAACAGGAAAAAAATACCCTCTTCATCACGATGTATTAAGTGAGTCAGATAAATCTTATTTTCTTTCTCATGTTGATTTACAAGGAAGTAAGAAGAAAAAGATCAACTGTGAAGCAGGTGCTGTCAGCACTGAGGTTTATACAGTCAAGAATTTATTCACCAAAATATATTTTGAAAATTAAAATATGTGTTTTTAAAAACAGAATATTTATGATGTTTTAATAAAACTCAGGTGAAGAAAGCCTAAAATCTCACTTTCGTGAAAATTGGTTACAGAAACCACAAAGCAATCTGATTAACCTCAGCAGCATTGTACGCTCCTCCCTTTGCTCCAGGCCTTGCTCCTTTCTTCCAGTATCCTCATAAGATGGAACAGGGTAGGGCTCCTAATCATTTGAAAGAACAAGATAAAATGGGACAGAATATAGACGTACTTCAGGAGATAAATATGTCTGTCTATCAGTCCACCCATCCTTAAAGTGTATAGCTGTACGGGTGAATCTGAAGTTCCCCAGATCAAATTATCACATGTATTTCCAGCACTTTCATTTCTGTTTTTCAAACAATTTGTACAAATATTTGTGGGTAAGAGACGATCTTTCTTGCTGCTTTTTCTCAGTGATGATTTATTGAATTTCATAATCATTCATTCCAGCAATTAAAGCCAATTCAGGTGGAGGCAGGAGCAACTAGTATGAGAGGGATCATTCCGTTTGTTTTTTTGATAAAGCTTGGTTTGGCATAAACATAACCCTCTTTTTAAAAACTGCTTCTGCAACTTAGAAAGAAACACAAAGTGCCAGCTCTGTCCCAAAAGACACATCTTTGCAAAGATATGAGTGGGGGACAGGGGTGGGAGTCAAACTTCTTACACTGGCCATATGTTATATGCCATGATGCTATAGAAAGAATTAAAGCCTATTACTGCTTTTTTTCCAACATGGTATTTCTGAAAAATATTTTCTTAGAGTAATTTCTTAAATTTAATTTATTAGTTTGTTATATTGTTAAATCTATTTGAGCTGGGGGGGGGCAATAATTAGGTTTTTTTCAGTATTGTACCAAAGTATGCAAAATTTATCAGATGCATTGGTGTTCCTTTCTTTCATAGGTAAGTTATTTCCCATATATATATCCTATGGGGGTAGATTTTACAGAACAAAGTATGTCAAAGAAGATAAAAACGATCTTCTTCCTATGAAACCTCCATGTATTTGGGACATATATACAGCACCCACCCCCACCCATGTTTGATTGCATCTAAATGGGATGCTAGCTCAAAAAACAATCAAACTCTTGAAAAATGTGTATCAGGACACTTACTTGGATATAGGCAAAGATATGAAGTGGGACAGATGGCCCAAAACCAAGGTTTCTTAGTGTTGTTTGGAAGAGAAATAGGGTCTTTTGCAAAATACTCTTTAACAGTCAGGAATTGAGCATGCAGAAGTTGCATCTGGCTCAACCCAGACTCTGTACTCATCCTCCTCAGAAAGCAGAGATAAGAACCAGGGTTAGACCCCAATTTTCCACCTGTTCTATCTTCAGTGCATTCTTTTATCATTTTAATTAAACTATCAATTGATATGTTGGACCATGCTGCCTTATTATTAAGTGGACACTAATAATAATAAAGAAGCAAAGTAATCTTCTCTTTTGTTTGTGCAGAGGTCCAAGATGTCTAGCGCGATTTGAATACATTGGAGATCAGAAAGATGAGCTCAGTTTTTCAGAAGGTGAAACCATTATCCTGAAAGAATATGTAAATGAAGAGTGGGCCAAAGGAGAGCTCAGAGGCACATCTGGAATTTTCCCCTTGAACTTTGTGGAAGTAATTGAAGATCTGCCTGGAACAGGTATGAATAGGTCTGCAAAAATCTTCAAGAACATATCGGGCTTCAGGCATGTAGGCAGCATATAGGAGAAAATTCCAGAACAGTGAATGCAGGGAGGTAGAAAAAGAGAGAAGACAGGTTAAAAAAAAAATCAAAAATCTTAAGAAGCTGTTCTTAATAGTGACTTTGAATATCTAAAATCCCTATAATTAATAATGTTTTGAATAGTCACTGCTGCTATTCTAACTTGTGCTTTACTTTATGTAGGTACAGAAGCAGCACTGAAGAACAAGGTGGAGGTTTCTTCTTCCCTTCCTCAGGTAATAAAATTTTATAGGTTAGGGCCAGAATTTACATAGCAGTTTCACAGATTTACAGAGACTCTCTATTATAATGCCAGACTAGCTGAATGTAACACAAATCCCACAGCACACAATGCTGTGTGGTCACATCTTGAATTCTGTCATTTGGCCTAAACTGATTGAATTCATAGCTTGAAAAATTAACAAAAGTAAAGTTTTATCTTTTGTGCTTAAGGAAATTCTTGCTAGCTCCATTTTAAGTATTGCTGCAGTGATCTAATTTTGAATTCATTAATCCTTCTCCCTGCCACCAGCGATAAAAAGGGATGTGCCTGAGCCAAGATGAAATTCTGTGGTGGTGGTTGCTGAAATGCCATTCTAGTGTACATCTGCAGCGACACGATTGCATGGGAGAAAGTCAGGACGCCCACGTTCTGTACAGCTGCTTTCTGCACTATCCATCGGCTTTTGGGCTCCATTTAACGTTCCTAAAATTAATGCATTTCCTCTGTTCACTTGAATAGACCAGCAGATGCTCGGTACAGTGGTGCGAAGCGCTTCATGATTTTACAGCAGAAACCAAAGATGATCTGTCCTTTAAAAAGGGAGACTACATCCAAATACTGGAACAAGTAGATTTGGAGTGGTATAGAGGAAGACTAAATGGAAAGGAAGGGATTTTCCCAGCAGTTTTTGTTCAGACCTGCTCAGGTACAGTGCTCCTACTAAATGGCAATTCACTGTTCCTTGGGTTGTGACAGTCATGACAGAGTTCTGGGAGAACCCAACTACTCCTTTGGATTAGCAAGCCCCACACCGCCACAGTCTTTAATATTCTAAAGCTAAGCTAAGTTTTGAACTGCCCCCTCTAATAATGGCAATATGATGTCCTAGTCAGTAAGTAATGTGGGAGGTGACACAGACTCTGGGATGTTTTCAACTGTGGTTTGGGCACAGGCAAAACAGCACCATTGAGCCACCTTTAGGAATAAATCACAGGTACTGATGCTGCCTCATCTTCAAGCACAAAGAGGAGAAGATAGCTCTTATTAGATATCACTACTGGAAAGTTCAAGTACGTAAAATTTAGTCCTCTTGAAAGCAGAACTGTGAGACTCTATTAGTACTGTAAAATGAACCAGTGTCAGTGGAGTTTTTTATTCCAGTAGGACAGTGAGTTTCTTACAGCAGTAGCAACAACATTTGGACACCCTGTAGCACAGTAATGGGGAGAAAACATAAGAATGAGAGAGAACTTCTCCAGAAACAGAGATTTATTTCATGCCAATCCAAATAACTTCTCTTGTCCATGTTCTGCAGCCAGGGTAGAGCTGTCACAGTCTGGGGGAGGGAAGAAAGGAAAAGCCAGAGCTCTTTATGATTTTCATGGAGAAAACGAAGATGAGCTTTCCTTCAAAGTAAGTACCTCTCTTAGACCAATTTCCAAGAGGGAGGTCTTACACTCCTTAAAGAGTGCTAAAAAATAAGATTTATCCACTGTGAAAATAGGCTTGAAACAAGAATGAAGCACATAGAATATGCACATTTGATAAAGGGCCTCTAAAAAAACTTTTTGCCCTTACCACTGCTGTTTCATATTGGCAAAATCTTCATTCAAGACACTGAAAAGAGATCAGGAGCTGCAGAATTCCTCTGACTTCTCTGATCTAGTAAACATGACAAGACAAACCAACCTCATATTGCAGTTCTTGATCAGTTGATCTGGTCAACAGAGCCTGTTTTTTTGACTCGAAAGACAGCAGTGAGAAGGAGGATAATAGTGTGAGTGCCAGTGCTGCAGCAGCCAGGCCTCTAAGGGACACCAAGTACAGCAAAATCTTAAATTGGCAACACAATACATAGTTGCTGTGCAAACAAGGGGAAAAATTAATACTTGCTGGGTGCCCAGATCATATTAAGCATGAACAAGAAACAGAGTGCCCTTGAGATTCAAAGTCATGATTTAGGTAACTGTGGCCTCAAAAGCAAATTTCTGAGGAACAGTAGACTTTCACAAGCAGGCCCAAAAGCGTGTCTTACAGGTTGAAACACACAGTATTTTCTAAAACTAGCAAAACAGTTCGTTTCAGCATTAGCAGTGTGCAATGTTGAAAGGATAGATGATTCTTTAAAGAGAAAAGGGGAACAATGGTACTGGAAGAAAGGCCAGGGCCATAACAGCACTTCCGATGAAGAGTGTGGCACGGGACAGTGAAAACTGGAACAAGGACCAAACACAGGAGCTGCAGTTTAAATGGCCACACCGAGCTCTTAGATTATTGCTTTTCCTTTTTGGGAAAGGAAGCTTTCCAAAGACAAGAGGGAAGTTTCCAAGTGCTAGAAAATATTGGGACTAAAAAAGAAAATGTTTCCAGGGTTTCAAGAAGAGAAACTCTCAGAGCAGGGAAACACACACAAATAACAAGTGGCTTGTGAGCCAGCTTTTACCATACCTGCCTACCTGGAGGGCTTAAGCAACTCGCAAAGTTATCCAGCAGTGCTCTTTTGTCCCTCCAAAGGTTTTTCCCCATAGACAAGTATTTACCCTAAGAGAAGCTTCAACTGGTTTTGGCAAACAACCTCCAAGAGATATAACCAACAGAAGAGACTGGCCACATCTCTTCTATTTGATTGATATTAATTGCCTCTAAATAAGTCCAGCTATGCATGCATTAACATTGCACAGTAAGCTGTACTGACTCATATTACTCCTTCTCTTACAGGCAGGTGATATGATAACAGAGCTGGAATCTGTAGATGAGGACTGGATGAGTGGAGAGATACAAGGAAGGTCTGGGATATTTCCTAAGAACTTTGTTCAGATTTTAAAAACACCATGAAGTGTTGCCTCTCTTTGTACTCCCTGCATGTGGGAGAGAATGTTTTCTACCCTAAAGGCACAGCAAAGGCATCAACGTGTGTTGACTATCAATGTTTTGCACTACTTTTTCTTGACAGTCATACTAGTGTCTTTAAGTCAAATAAGAACATTTTAGTCCTTTGTGACAGTGTATGTAGTCATGTTTCATGAATGCTCTGAGAGCAAAACAAGCAGGATTTTTAGCGGTTTCCAACTAGGGAAATATTGTGGTGCAACACCATTTTAACTTATATAGCATTCTAGTATGTTTACTATCTGGTATTGCATTTATCCTGCACAAAGTCTGCATAAAGTAAACTGCTTTGGGCTTCTTTAAAAACTTTTTAAAATCCAAATTTAAAGAATTGTTTTAATATATAATTACTACACTCAGTATGTAGATGGAATTTGATATTCAGGTTTCCTTACTGCTTGAGTTCCACGTTAGCAGTAGAATCCACTTGTTTGTTTTATGACTTAGAGGACAAGAAAAATAACTGGTATTTCATAGTAGAAAGGTATCAAATCTAATACTGGTAAGAGGGAAAACTCAGAAATAAATCCTTGTGTAGTATTCTTCTATTCCTAGCCCAAGCTGCTCATACAGCAAGATCACAGAAGTAAGATTTTTAAGTATTTTGCCTTTTACAAGTACTGTTTAAATTGGTATGAATCATCTTCAACCTTCCTCCCTTTCCCCAAAATACTTTCCAGGTACAGGTTTAGATTTTTCTACTGCCCACTGTTCTTCAAGCACCATCATGCCCTTCTTTCCCATCAGAGGATAGTTGTGACAGACAGCATTTACTGAGCTTTCTCAGATCCCATCCATGGAGTAGCTGCACTATTCCAAATATTTGCCCCTCCACTCCCGTCATGCAAGTGGAAAGCCAGTCTTCACTCAGTCTGTATTTCATTTGTCACTCAAGCACTGGAACATACCTCAGTAACACTATTCCTAACCTTAACATGAAGGGTATTACGCAGCCTTGGTTTTAGCTTTCAGCAGACGTGGGATTAGTTTCCAGTTTGTTACCACATACCAGCTATACTGAGCATCATCATAAATGGTCTGTCAAGACATTAAGGAAAACATGCCTGGCAAGAGGTTACTCCAAGCAGTATTAACCAAGGCAATTAGTAAAATGTAGCAGTGTGGCTCGACTGATAAACTAAGACAGACACGACTGAGGAAGCTTCACATTATAGGAACTTCTGGTAGTAAATTAATTTTTGTAACACTTGGCTTCTGACAAAGTATTTAAATGGCATCTAACTCCATCAGACTGGAATAGAAAACATTATGCTGCAGTTGGCTCTTTCACTGCTGACAGTATTCCATCATTTCTGTACTATATAACAAAGAGAAACCAGTAAGCTGTTTGCACGAGTCATTACTTCAGAGAGCTGCAGGTCACGAGGTATGAAGATATCCTCAACAAGACTTTTCTTTTTGGGTCTGGCAGTTCAGGTTGCAGGAGGGCCAACAGTTGAGTGGTGAATGGAGACTGGAAACCAGCATCATGATTGACCTTGAGACAGTTTTGACTTGTCTGCCTACAGCTTTATCAGTATGAGCTCTAAGCATCACAGCAATAGGTCCCTGCTGCTGCAGGAGATCAAGGTGCATCTAAATAGATGCCTAAGCAGGCTCACAGCCAAAACTGAACTGAGGAACTCCCCCTGAGCAGGGAATGGGCATCCAGTCCCGGTAGCCGACTAGGGCTCACCTGAAACAAGCCTGAGGAATGTGCAGCACAGACATGAGGTCCTCAGCACCACTGCACGCAGCAGAGTCACAGTTAGGCCACAGAACTTGAACAGACACCGGCATTTTCCCCCTGATTTTTCTTCTGTTGTGTATTTAAACTGCACTGATACCATATCTACAACCGAGAGATGAAGATCGCACAAAGTTTTGATGAGCTGAGAACTGGACTTCTGCTTCCATTAAGGTTATTAATATTATAAATCAATTCTAAATTATGTGCCATTCTAGGAGGGAAAAACAATGTGTACAGCAATTACTCAGTTTTAGCATCCCCTCAAGCCTAACTGAAACTCCTGTGGAATCAAACTTAGACATAAACCACTGCCCAAGCTGTCCTGCCAAGAGATGCTAAAACTTCTTGTTGCTTATTCCAGTAAAACACCATCTCCTAGAGAATACCTATGCCCTCCAAAGACATACTGTATCAGTGTAGCAGTAGACGAGATTTAAGTGTATGATGTTTACTTATTGTCTGGCAGTTTTCTAAAATTTTGATACAAGTCTCAAAAGTAGAATCGATTTTTTTATATTTTTTTTTTCAATTTCCTTCTTCCCATTTTTGTAATGTGTATTGACCAGTTGTTTTTGTAACTCCCACTGAATGTTTCGAGGCAGTGCCTATCCGCAGACCCGACCACTCTGCTGTATGTTAATCATCTCCTCCCTGTGGGGCGGGGCAGGGCAGGGAGAGCAGCAAGGCCTTCTATTCACAGCACCGAGTGCCATCTAAGGGCTGCTCGCATCGCTGCAGGCAGCTGAAACAGCGCCTTCGTGAACACTGAAACAAGTGAGATGCTTGGCTTTTACAGGAGAGGATTTTCTTGAGACGATGCCCAACACCACCATGAGACTGCCAGCAGATCATGATGACATTCCTAAGGTGTACAAAAAACCAGGAATGAGGTGGAGCACAAATCTTAACTGCAATATAGTAGCAAATTTCAGCTGTAACCTTGAAATTCAGCTAGACCCCCGTGCATTAGTATAATAATAAAAGTCTCATTTGTCAAAATACTGTTTGACCCACTCTCTGGAAATATCTTCAGGAAGACATCTTTGTTCTGTGTACAATTAACAGTGTCCTAAATATACCTTTGTTAAGTCCAGTAAGTTTGTTATGGTACCTCTGTAAATTAAGAATGTATTTAACCAATAAAATTTTTGTAATTAAGTCATGCTGGCATTTTAATTGTCTTATGCTGTGGAGAGCTGAGCTTTCCACTTGGCAGTTTTACGGATCTCATTCTGCTCATATAGTTCACCCAGCTGCAAAGGAACACCCAACCCCCAGACAAATAATACCAATAATAATCAGACAAATAATATTGCATCCGTTTTCAAGTAGTCCAAACCCCTCAGCGAGTCTGGACGGCTTTAACAGAGTTTATTCAAGCCTTTGGACTCGGGTACATTCCACAAGTACCACCTGCAGAATCTGTGGCACTTGCTACCTACAGCAACCAGCTGTCACCGCAGGGTGTCACACGTGGTGCGGCTCTCGCTGTGCCAAAATTACTTGTGCTGATGAGCAGTTCTGCTCGTGATTTTGGTGTGCTCTGCTGACACCATGATTTTTCAGCTGGTATTTGCTGAGAGAATACAGATGCAGCACAAAACATTCCTTTCTGCTTGCTTCCCCCCCCCCCCATCCAAAATCCTATTACAAACGTACATACATATGTATGTACGTACATACATACCCAGGGCCCCTACACAGCAGTGCTGGCAGTGCAGTGTTCAAAAACGTAATTTTAAAAGCCTGAAAAAAGGCAAGTTCTTGTTCTTTCTCCAAATCCTCTCAGGCTGAAGGAGAAAGTAACAGTAACCAAGACATACAAGTTTTCAGAGCATGAGCTCAGAAACCACCTCAGGATTCCTAACTCTCCCAGCCTACAGAAAACAGGGCCAGCTGCAGCCCCTAACGATTTGCTTGATGGAACCACTGCTAAGCAGAGGAAGCAGCCAACACACGGCTGTGCATAACTGACAGCTCTGACAGTCCTTACGCCAGTCCAGGGCTTGAACAGATACACACACACCTCTGCATGTGCACAGCTGCACTGGAACGTGCTGTAGTAGGCTCAAGGGTTTCCAACCTCTCACCACACTTACCACTCCACATCACAGTTTGTTTTTCTAACTCTGGTGAAAAGTTCTCACTTTTACTAGAGAAGTGAAGGGGTGTTTGTTGCATCTTATGGCTTCAAACATATGACTGTCTGGGACTCCTCGAGGCGGATGACACCTGCCTCAGCAGTGCTGATGGGAAGAGCAAAGCAGAGAGTCAAAAGCAGAACGATTCCTTTCTCCTGTTACAAGATTGTGAGTGTTGAGCACTCACTACACTTCCACTACATCAACTGGAAAAAGCAGAACGCATGGTAAATTTTAACTTGGAATCACAACATGAAATTACATCACCTGCAGTCTTCTGAAGTTTGAAAACATTATTTTCATTTTGCATATGATTTGGTGCAAACAAGAATTACCAACTAGGAAAAGGTGAAAATCCCCAACACAGAACACTACAGCCCTCATGGGTAGCAGGGCCCCTCTCCTCTTCCTTTAGTAACTGGCTGAAACAGTAATATTTCACTATTTCCCTCCATTTCTTATCCTATGCTATATGACAACCGACTGCAGGATCTGCAGCTCTCATTGACCTCCCCTTTTTGTTCTCAGATTTTAAATCAGAAACTTACCAAACATTTCACAGGACTAATTCTAAACATGTTCATAGCACAAAAAACTCATTTCAGCTAGAAAAAACATCTTCCATTTTGAAGCCTGAGCAAGAAAAAATGCTATCAGATAATTAACAGTTTTCTTAAACTAAATCAGCGAATCCCTTAAAGTATGCTTTGTTTTCAAAACACAGACCATTGTCTTTTTACAGTATAATTTTTCCTCCTGAAGTGTCACAGGTTTTTCAGCCATGATTTCAGTTACTCCTCAGTTCTGACAGAGGTTAAAAACCAACATGCAACCCCGTACTGCTTTTGAGCATGCTCTGCATTTCTGTACTGCTCAAAATAAACACTGCTTCCATAATCATAACTACAACTTTAAGATATTTAAACAACTTTTGATTATGGGGGACCGCATCTATTCCACAAGAGGTTGTATTAAATTACCACCAGGAAGCTTAAATATATACATGTAATGTTTAAGCAAGTAGTCCAAATAAATCCCAAAGACTTCCCTGTAATAAAAAATTCTGAAACAATAGAAAAATTCTGAAACAGTAGCCCCATTTTTCCTGTACGATGCTCCTCTTTGAGGCAGCTCTCACTAATGCAACCTCTGCAAACATACACAAGATTTCTTTTGTGAGGACCAGAATTATTGGAAAAACCAACATACAGAATCCACAAAAAGGACAACTCCCTTTCCACCCATCTTGCAACACCAATCATGAAAACCACGTCTCCAACACAAATGCTTTTTTCTTTTTTTCAAACCAAGACAACAGGGTTTACCTTACTGAAAACCCATCCACACATCCAGCACCAATACTGTCCAGTAGCAATACAGGCAACCAAACATCAGTTCTGTGTATTAAAACTTTTATTTTCCACCAATTTTTAGTTTCAGACAGATTCTTGCACGGGCGGCTCATATCCATCGGCTCGCTCTACTTTAGTGCCTGCCTCATCCCCAGAGGGCTTTCCAGCACCGCCACCTTCACCATGCAGCTCCATCAGCTTGCCCACTAAAAAGAAGCAGCAACACAAATAGTGAGAGATGCACCTGTTTAAACAGTTTTAAATTACTCAACTGCTCATCATACACAAACCACCAGAACATTTAATACAGGTACGACCAAGTCCACTCCAGAAAGCTCACGGAAGGAGATGACGCTGCTGCAGTTAACTGACGGTCAGACGGAAACAAGACTGAATGAAGGGCAACATAACACAACTACAAATTAAACTTTTTTCTAAAAAGACTTGAACTCAAGAACCTGCTACTGCATTACATGGGAATGTCAGAAAATGGGAAAATAGAATCATTCCACATCATTTGGGACCGAAACATTTTGTCATCATTCATTCCCAAGGCAAAGCCTTTAACTGTTCAGCAGCAGTTTCAGGTGAGAATTTTAAAAGCTCTGAACTCAGTGCTCACTGCTTGGCTTTCAGTCCTGGAAGCCACAAAGTCAGACGAAGACACACCCATTCAATACTACAGCTACAGAAGTCCATGATGCTGCTGTATCTTTATCCGAAAGCAAACGCATTTAAAGTGACTGCTTCCCACATCCTCCTCCAGGAACAGCCAACATCTGCAGTAACCAACTTACATTCGAACTTGGGCTTCTTCAGCATCTTAACCTTGCGGACGTAGACGTCGTGCAGAGGGTAAATGGACTGACAGGCCTTCTCGATGTCCTTGCCAATGCTGTCTGGGATCCTGAGAAACCACAGAGCACAGTGGTGCCACAACGTTAAAAACTCTGCCTGCTTCTTCATCAGCAACACGGGCTTAAAAAAATCTTTAAGAGTACAAAATAACCTACTGAAGTTCACATCATTAATGTGAACATTTTTCTTCAGGTACGTTTAGATTCTAAGACATTTCCCTTGCAGTGTTAGAAGGAGCATAGGGGCAAAAGCATGCCCATTTTGAGAGCAAATCTCCAATCAAACTTTAGGAAGCAAACATCACACTTTGGAAAACTTTCTTCTACCAGAAGAACCAAGAACAGTCATAGCCCCAGCTGATGAGAATTACAACTTTGGTCTGCAGAACCACAAATCCTCTGTAAAATCTGCACGATTTTACATTTATGCAAATGTGACAGTGGGTACAAGTCAAACAGGATGCAGAGACCAAGAGAAGCTGTCTGCAGAAAATGACCTCTGGCTTTCCAACATGAGGGGCATGTTCTGGTCTCTGCCAAATGGCACGTGAAGCACCAGCCTTCTCCAAGTTCTCAGCAACAACCAACCAACCACCAACCAACCAACCACTGAAACTACAGGGGAGAAAAACGAAACGCAGCCAGAGCTTACAGCTTATTGACAACTTCCTTCAGGTCATTGGTCTGCACCTCCCGGGTCATGATTTCCATCATCTTCCTGCGGATCTGCCGGACCTGCTGATGCTGGGCATAGGAGGTCTTGCGGATCTGGTTATTGCGCTTCTTGGTGAAGCCCACGCAGAAGAGGCGCAGCAGGTAACCGTCCGTGGTCTTGACATCGACGTGGGCTTCAATCATTGTCTGGAAAAGAAAGAGCCATTTACTCCCCCCTCCGTGACAAGAGAGGTTCCCCAACCCCACGAACCCGACATCATCAACACCCGCCACAGCCACCTCAAACACAGCTCCACAACGCTCCAGTGCTTCCCCCCCTTCCTAAAGGCTCCGGCACCAACACAGACCTTGCTGTTTACACACCTGCCATTTTTTGACCATGGAGCACATTTTGTCCCGGGTGAGGTCCATTCCATGGAAGTTGGTCAGACAATTCTTGCCCTGAACGTCCTCAGTGATCAGTTTGAATTTGCGGAAGGCAACCTCATCGTTCTGCAGGTCAGCCAGACTCACTTCGAACACACGGCCCTTCAGCCCATCAGAGGCAATTTCTGTGTGATGGAACAAAATGAAACACCTTCCATCAACATTAGGAGTGCACTGCTCAGATCAGACACCGAATTCCCATTGGATGTTTTCTCGTGGTGCTGATCACAGAATCACTAAGGCTGGAAAGGCCTCCAAGCTGGAGCCCAACCCCCGGGGATGCAATGCCAGGGCCTTGATGTGCTGCACTTCATTTGTGCCTTGAACCAGATCAAATCCACTCAAAGCCAAATACCAGGTTTTGTCAACTCTGGAAGGAATATTTCCAGGTGACTGTATCAGATGTGGGACATGAGCACCAGCGTGCCGCAGATTCCACCACGTAGAATAGTCTGGGTTGTTTTAAGTGGAACGAGTTGTGGAGTCTTGGAAATTATGAACCACAGTGAAAAGCAAAAACGCCACAGCAGAGATGAAGCAGCAACCAACGCCCCAGTCATTTCACAGCTCCCCCTCCAACAACCATTTCAACACTGGCTGATTCACACTTGGTTTACAGTGACCCTTATTTTACTTGTTTCGTGTGTTACAGTTCAAAGTAACGATCACCTTCATAACTGTAGTACAGTGTAACTATTTAGCCATTC